AGCATGGTCCCCTTTACAGCTAATCTTTGACTTATAAATACAAGTGAGCCTAAAATCTCCTTCGTTAAACAAGTGAATTTTGTCCCATTTTTTATCTTTCTTGCCACAGTTTTTAAGCAAATCACAGCAGTTGTTAAATGAATCATGCAGTCATTAAATGAATCTTGCTTTCCCCATTATCTTTGCATGTCAGAAATTACAAATGATAATCATATGACCTCAGGACAATGCAACTGTCATAAATATCTGGCAATTGCCAAGTCAGTAGTGGGATTCAGCCGGTTCGCACCACTTCAGCAGAACCAGTAGCTAATTTTTTGTTGCCCAGACACAGAATGGATTTCCGGAAGTGGCATCCACACAGAGAACCGGTTGTTCATATATTTGAATCCCACCACTGATGGATGACACACCCATTCTATTTTAATGGGATAGATCCCCCCCCCATATTAACAGGTATAAAACAAGGATGGCTTCCTACTTTTATATTTGCTATGCTATTATATTTGGTGTGATTATTGATTATGGAGGTTTTTGCTCAATAATGTAGCTAATTTGTTTGCGGATGGTGTGTGTGTATGTCTATATTTCTTAAGGTGGATGGAAATATACTTCAATTGCAATCAAAGATAAATTTATGAAATTGTGGCACTTTCATAAGTACTGACAAACCCCTTGTCATAACAGGAGCAAAATAAAAAATAACGAATTGCATATTCTGTGGATAATAGGGGATAGCATATAAAATATATAGGAATAATAATGATAAAGGGTGGAAAACCATTGCAGTTATGTAACTTTATAAGAATCTTTTAATTTAGAATGGAATTAAATACATGGCAATATCATTCAATATCATATTAGGAAAAATAGCAATGATTATTCTTCCAGAATGGTTATTTCCTTGCTAAAAGTAATGCCCATTTACTGGTTTATTAGAGCACAAGAAATCATTGTCTTTCATACTTACATCAAGCTAGAATTAGGCAAGATGTCCAATATAAATACAAAAAAAGGTAGGTCTATGAATATGAACTATGAGCTTGTATTTGGATACAGTTCCATGAGACAATTCAGATGAGAATTTTTAAAAATGGTAAGAAATTAATAAGAAATGAAGTCAATTCTAACGTATATTTAAAAGTGTCCTTAGACGTTTGGATAAGATAAAAACAATATCCAATCTGATTTCTTTCTTCCTATTTCTTGACTATGTACTATTCAAGTATGAAGAGAAATCTGCTCAATTGAAGGAATGGAAAGACAGAGGATTTTATTGAGTTAGTGACCTAATTATAAAGAATCAACCTGTCACCACTGAATATATATTGCTGCAAGATGAAAACAAGCCCTAACCTGTTTCCAAATAAAGGGGGAATTATTCTTTCTTAATATAGGTCATACAAGTTAAGTTCACTGGAAGTATCTGAGAAGTGATAAACAGTAAAGGGCTTACCATTTAAAGGAATCTTTTTAATATCATTTTTTTTAAAGTCAGTAAACGTTTGGGAAGAAGATTTAGATTTTGAACTTGATGAAACTTTGTGATATAATGTCTTTTAAATCCATTTCAAAATTACATTGCACTAATCACGTTATTAAATTGTATTGACAAGGCTGTGAATAAATTGATATGTATTTTCAACTTCTGAGGTAATAACCAATTGGGCAAAGCTTTTGATCAAAAAGTTGTCACATATCGGAGAAAATTGTACACCCCATCCATCTTATAAAAAGAATCATGCAATAGAATAATATTGTTTTCTTCATTTTATACAATAAGGAAAAAGTTGCAAAAATAATTAATTCAATATCTTGTTAGTAGCCAGATGTGTAAATGTGCAACTCTGGAGGCTGAAAGCACAGTTGCCATTAGATTAATGATATTGTAAAATGTGGGAAATCCCACTATAAAGAATAGGTTAGTAATATTTGGATTTTATTTATTAATCATACTGTATTGATAAAGTGTTTCTGTCAGAGTGTACTGTTAGGACAGAAACTTGCTATTTTAGACAAACAAATATTGATGTAATCTTATTTTCTTTAGTTATTCTAATTTATTTTCTTTAATAATACCCTGTCAAAATATAAGATATAGCTAATTTTTTTCTTCTCTATTTGAATTTTGTTTGTATTCAGTTCAGCTGCTGGATTTTTTTCCTAGAAAATGTTTTGTAATTCATGTCTAGATATTTCACTTCATAAAAATAGTTCCATAAATCACCTGTCTATCATAAAGAAAATATTAATCAAGATCAAATATGTCTTAGTATTTGGGTGAAAGACTACCAGAAAATTCAAAGGCTGTAAGCTAGGCTCAGAAGTCAGAAAATATCATAAAAGCAAGGAACTTTTGTACTGTTGCCAAGAATGTAACATGGACATCCTGAGGAATGACTTCAACTAGAAGAAGACTTCACTTGTTATGAATGGCTTGGTTTAAGAATGAGACAAGTAGTGGGAAAGGATGCATATGTTGCCAGAGAAGAAGGGAAAAGTTGTAGCTAGTAGAATCTGGATGAAGTAAGAGTAAGATGTTAAATTTTTGTGGACTGCCCTGCCCCTTTCCTGGTATTTCAAGAATCTCAGGCCAAAAGAGAGAACAGCTAGTACCTATTTGTATAAGGAGTTTTAGGAGGTGAAATGGCTACCACAAACACCTGAAAGCTTAAAGTACCCATTTTCCACTTAAATCATCCATTCAAACACAAAACATGGGCCACGTTTTTGTTCCTATCCCCTTGGAAGACTATAAAACAGATGCCATATTTTTGCATCTCTGAAATAAAGCATGCATCCTTTCCCTCCCTCCACTGCTACCCCACAAAGATCAGGATAACAAACATATTACATGATTAGAAACTACAGAAGTGAATTGTATTTTCTTCCTTTCAGTGCTTCCAAGAATGCAAAAAAAAAAAAAAAACCTGCAACAACACTGGCTTTACAGAATGGTAAAATTGGTCTGGGATGTTTAACACATAAAGACTAACATGCTTGCACAGGAAGAAATAAATATCACCACCACCCCCAAACCAAGAAAGCCATGTGGTGATTCTTCCAAGCTGAGTTTTTTTTTAATTGTTCCACATCTATAGATAGAATCTTGCCAAACAGAACTATTCTACTTTCTATGTCAAGAATATACTCTGAGAACTATTAGGGAGGGACTGTCTTCACCCCTTTCTCTCACACAAGCTATCTGAACTGAGCCTCTTATTCCTCTTGAATGCTTCCCTCCATCCTAGGAATCCAGCCCACAACATTCTATCACAATAACAGACAGCAAGACATTCAACTTTATATTCCATTAGTTTCAGATGTGGCATCTGCTATGTGCCCATGGAAATGTGGTGATTATTATGCAGGAAGCTCTGCATGCAACCAGAAATACTGTTCTGCAGATAATCAGATGTGAGTCCTTGTTACTCAGCTTGGGTATTAAGGATAACTGTGACTGCTGCTATTGTACTGTCATCCCCAGAACTCCATCCTTGCCTGAGCTGTTAAGCTATCTAGATTGATGTTGGATTTCCTAGATAGAGAAGAGAGGTCAGAGATACCTCTTGAGCTCATGGCTACCATGACAAGCACAGGCTTATCCCAGGTCATTATGCATTCAACTCAAATGTCAGTTTGATCTAGTTTTTTTGTCTTGGAAGAGATGAGCTGTCATCCGAGAATGGAAGACAATATGACCAAACCAATCCCTGGTTTTCATGGAGCTGAGTGGTGCTATTCAGTTGATTGATCTCAGACATCTGATTGATCTGTTTGATTTGCAAAAGGCACTTAAGCATTTCCCAAGGTTTTGGTTTGCAGCTCTGTCAAGACTCTAATGGACTCCTGGAGTATGGAAGATTAACAGGGTTGCACCAGAGAGCCTCTCCTTGAATGTTGATCTGGGGAGACTCATTGGTATATTGAAGAATTCTGGGAGATGAAGAGATAACTTTTGAGTTCAGGGTTTGGAGTGCTTGGAGTGACATTGGCAAGTAGCAAAGAGCAAATATGACCAAACTTGAGTATAAGCTTGGGTAAGCCTCCATTATGGCAGTAATAGCTTTGAGGTGTCAATACTTCTCCAGGCTTATCACATCCAGACTGTCATCCAGCAAACTATTTAAGTCAACCCAAATCTTTGTTTGGGAAAGTTGGGGCAGAAGATCAGTTACAAGTCTACAGTGATGTATTTGCAAGGCATCTGGAGGATAAAATCATTTACAGTTGGATGGCGGTTTCATAAATCCTTGTGACATTATCTGGAAGCAATTTGAATCTATTAATCCTGAGGAAATAGACACTGAGCTATCTGGGACTTCAGTTGTTTCACCTGTGGATTCCATCTGTTTTCTAGTTGGTAAATTACAGTGATATTAAAAAAAAAATCCAAAAGAGGCAAGGATTAGTGACGCAACTAAACATTTATAAGAGGATAATACAGAACATTTGTGAATGAAATAAAGAGAATAGAAATGTCTGGGTTCTTGAAAATAATTAAAATCTCAACAGGTAATATACTGGGTGTTCTTCGCTACTCCTAAACAGCTCCCAGGGCTGAAAGATAGGGAAGTTAAAAAATAAGAAGGCAATGGTGAAACAATTCGGCATAGCTATCAAAAAACCAACACTAATATATTTATGTAGTCATCAGTTTGATTTGATTTGATGCTGCTCTTTTTTAATGCAGAAAACCCTTCATTTTAGGATTAAACTTAATGTAGCAAACGCTATGGCTGGATATTTTATTTATATTGAGAGAAAGTGAAATGCATGATCATATTCAGTGAATATGTTTTATAAGGCACATGCCAACTTTTAGAATAAAGAATTATGATAAAGCGATAGCGTACGTAAAGTCCAATTTCAGCGGATAAGCAAAAAGGCCGCAGTGGGCTAATTTATCATTTCCGCAAGCGGAACTTGTCTGCCGCGGAACTGAACGGCTAGCAAGCGGCGAGTCGCCGGACGAAGAGAAGAAGAGCACAGAACAGGGAGTGAGGTCGCCGCTCGTATGGGTGCTGCTGTTTTTGCAGACTCCTTCCTGCTGCTAAAGCTGTTCCTGTTCCTGGAAGGTGGGGGTGGGGGGAAGAAGAAGAAGAAGAGGAGAGAAAAGAAAGGTTTGCCCTGGCTACCGGCAAGCAGGAAAGAAAAAACGTTGCCACCTTGACTCCTCTACATGGCAGGGAATTTCTGGCAGAGTTCGCATTAGTGAGTTGCCCTTGCAGTCTGAAGGTTCTGGGGAGGGAGGGAAGGAAAAGATGGTGCGGAATACAGGCGCGCGGGCCGGGCAGTTGCGGGGAGTTATAAGAGGCTTTCCCTGTAGGAAGTGATTTTCTCAGTGCAGAGGGTTTCAGTGTAGTGGGATGTTGCTGTATGCCTGGGAGAGAGATGTCTGTGCAGGTTGAACTTTCAAAATATTATATATAGCTGCATTATTGTTTAGAACATAGGTTATTTCCAACAAGATGAGTTTTATCTTTTTATCTATTCTAACAAAAACAATTGGACAAAGCGTGTGACTCTACGTGTATAAAGAAAAGCAGAGTTTTTTCCCCCCCAGCTTGAACATATTCACGCTGAACGTTTTGAGATACTTATAAAGCGACAGCTCTTATAAGGGCAAGTACTTTAACAAGGGAAAAATATATACTACATGCTGCATTAGTACAGGTTTGCTGTAGAATGTCCAATTACTACCTCAAGGGTTTTGCGTTATTAGAAATACTGATTTTCCCTTCATTGCAGCAGTGTGGTTCAGATAATCACAGTTCCCTGCTTTTAGGTACTATCTTTAACTTTTGTTTTGTTCTTATAACTTTTGTACAAAGCTAAGACTTACTTATTAAATTCATATGGAAACAGATAAAATGAAAAACAAGTATTCTGATTGCACTGGGTTTATCATGAGGAAAGTACTGGGATGCATATGCCTCTTTCCAAAATAGTTTACCCTTATTTAAATATTGAATATTGTTTTAATTCACACATGGAGTGCATTATGTTGAGGTGACTAAATTGTAATACTGTACTATGAAAGTGAAGAATGGCATGAATAATCACATTGGAGGGAAAAATCTTTAGTGGTATTTGGTATAACTGCAAGCTTCTCTTTTATTCCTTTTGCTTCTTGAGTGTAATTTACAGCCACTATCTCTAAAGAAACCAAGATTCATGGAGAACATCTGAAAGTGTTCTATCTAAATATAATTCAAATATGTGACTTGAATGCTGGCTTTTTATTCAGAAACCAGACTTTTCTGTACTAGGAAGCCAAATACCTAGGATGAATAATATATATTCCTATATTATATGAAGTATAATAACTCAAAATCATAGTATTACAGAAATTCTATTTGTAAAAGAGAGATAGAAAGTGGGGTTAAATGTTTATACAACATTTGTATGCAATTTGTCTGCGGAGATGGGCAGTTAAGAAATATGAAATATAAATAAAATAGAACATTTAGATCTAACATTCGTGAGGCAATTTAAAATAATTATTTTACGTATTAGTCTTATAAACTACCTTTACTTCAAGAGGTCAACAATTTATACAGGGTTCTCCTTTCATTTAATCTCCACAATATATATCCTTGATGATTTGCAAGTGAATGTGTGCATGTATGCAAATAGTTCAAAGTCATCCTGTGCTTGAGGGTGGACCTGAACTCTACTTGTACATCTATTACATCACCCTGGTTAAATACAATGACAAATCATTAGAAAAGGGCAAAATTATTAGAACAAATTATCCTCCAAGTTTTCAGGTGCTTCACTATTGACAAGAGATTGATTATAATCTTTGGATTATAGAAGGTCTCATATAAAATATTTTTAGTTCGAAATGATTGTCAAAGTCTGATGGTAGTTTCTTATTTGTCAGAATTTTGTTTCTGGCCTGTTGTGGAGCTCTCAAATTCTGGTGGCAGTGAACATTGGGGAAATACAAGCAGCATGGGAAGAAAGAAATTATTTCTGAATACTTTTGACTGAATATTCAGTAGACTATGTATCTTTGACATCAGGCCATATAACAAAGGATAAAAAAGTGTTTTCTTTTTTCTGTGTTTATAATAGATACAATCTGTTACAAATATCTAAAAGTTGTCTCTCCCTTCCTTCCTTCCTTCCTTCCTTCCTTCCTTCCTTCCTTCCTTCCTTCCTTCCTTCCTTCCTTTTCTGTAGCTTACAATGGATTTTGGATAAACAAGATCTGCTGAAGGAACGCCAAAAAGACTTAAAATTTTTAACAGAAGAAGAATATTGGAAACTACAGATATTTTTTACAAATGGTAAAAATGCTATCAATGAATCATTGATATACTCTCTGTGTGTGAGAGAGTTGGGGGAATGATTTATTATTGATTTTTAGAAGAAGCACACTCTACCAGGTCCTTGAGCATGCTCCCATTAGACTCTTACGTGGTTTAAATATAACATTGGTCAACATTTTTTTTTCTAAAGTTAGACATATATTTTACTTTTGGAACATTATGATTCTAAACCATATGCGGATCCATTCATTTATAGGCCTTTCCCCTCTTTTTGTGGAAAAGGTTTTAAGTTGCTTGTAATGGTGTTACGCCTAACATTTATTCTAAGCTTTTGGTATCCTTTCTCAAAATGATGGGAAACCAAAATGGCAGTTGAGATTTTTGGAAAAGCAAAGTAAATTTCTAAAATGATGACTAATTTCGATAATTCTTTTGTATTGAAACTTAAGCAAGTCATTACTTTCCAGTCAGAGCCAATAATAGCAAAGATCGATAAATACAATTTAAGCCTGCATTTTAATACAGTACCTGGGTGTCATTGAAAATTTATTCTAGATAAATATAAGCTTCACATGCAAGGAAGCTTTGGCTTTAATTTGTTTTAGAAGAGTGGAAATCATGCTTAAATATTTAAACCATTAAAACATTAGAATATATTTTGGCTCATTCTAATAGCTGAAGTACAGCTTTCATATCTACTATAAATACAAGTACTAAGATTCTATAAAACGTGATAAATGTTTTGTTAAGTGTGCATAATTACAGCTCAGAAGTTGTAAATCTGTCTTATTACTACTTGAACAATCTTGCATTTATTAAGTAATGCACGTACAAACTTATTTCCTTACAGGGAGTATGACAGTAATATTTTAGAATATGCATGTATATTCACAATTGGACTTTTCATAATGTGTCTGAATAGTCAAAGTTACTTGTTACAGTCAGAATCAGTATCCTCTGTGTTGGAGCTGGCAAGGTGAGATGGGGGAAATAACATTAATAGTTACTTTCTTAAAATTGAGAAATAGTTATTTTGTATTTAAAACAGTTCATATTTGTGGAATCTTGGAAATTATTAAAAAAGTAAGCAAGGAAAAAATACTGATAGATGGACAATGCTGTTAGAATTCTGTTGCCCAAGCATTCTATTGGCTTTCTGAATATCTCTACTTCAAATAAAATTCCTGCCTCCACTGATCATTTCAGATTTATCACAGTTAAAAAAAATATTGAGCTAACTACCTTGTGTACAAAGGATTTGCTTGGCTGTCAAGCTTGAAAATGAGCATTGATGTGTGAATTATCTTGGTAGTGGCAGGATTATGATAAAACATTGCCATCTTCAAATTACAAATGGATGGGTGGATTCTGGAAAAATATCAAGTAACCATCTTTTGTTTTGTCATTCTGTGCCTCTCTACCTATGCTTGGTACATGCTTGGAATATATCCTCTGCTCAGAAACCCAAATGAGCTACCTGTACAGCTGACACCATGGTGGCTTTCTAGCCAACTGGCAGATAGTGCTAGTGATGGAGCAGCTGAATTTTTTTTCCTGATCTTCCTTCCCCCGGCACCCTATTCCCTTTTCATAGATGAAATATGTCATACTTCAGACACCTGCTGCCTTTGCCAACTCCATAATTGTGCTGATATTGGCAGCTTAAGTCCTTGGACAAATTAAATACCTCTTTTGCAAAGTATTATTTAGAGGCTGCATATGATGGTTGGTAATCGAAGGCTTTGAATTTCACACAGAATAAATTTCCTAAGTTTCTGAATGAGTGTGAGTTGAGAATTGCATGAAGTTGCAGATAATAGAATAAATTATTTCTGTAGGTGCAGATTAAACCTCAATATGCCTTGCATCTGTTTTGTCATTTTTGGAGAAGTTGAATAATGCATCAGAATTATCTAAAAGGGCTGGAAATAAATGTCATCTGCCTGAATTTAAACAAACTCAGCTTAGTGGCGATCATAGAAAAATGCTGGCATTGTCCAGTTTCATAGCTTACTATATACCGTAATATTTTAGGAATCAGGTTTAATGATCCCAACTGTGCAGTCTGCTTTGAATTGTTCTTTGTGTCAGAAATATCAAGTAGTGATTGAATGCTAGTTTTTCTAACTACAGTTTCAATGCTTTATGGTGTTATCTATTGTGTCATAGTCTCAGTTTGCAATCTTCTCCCTATAAAATAAAATATTATTTCATCTTTCGGGGAACCTATGAAAGGGTTTTCAGTACCAAAAGAAGTATAGGAACATAATGTAATAATGTTAGGAAAAAGATTTGCAATTCTGTGGGATTCAGTTTCAGTAACAGTTGCAGGATATAAAACTGAACATTGAAGATTTAACTCATTTTTTTTTTAAATTTTATTTTAAGTTATTCAAGCTTTAGGTGAACATTTGAAGCTAAGACAACAAGTTATTGCCACTGCTACTGTCTATTTCAAGAGGTTCTATGCCAGGTAAGATCATGAGCTCTGGAACAATCTCATTTTTTTCTATATAAATCTTTTTGTGATTCTAAGGTTTCTTTAAAAGTGGTATGACTAATAAATCCCCCTTTTCTGCTGTTTAAAATTATCTATTATAACTTTTTAGGTATTCCCTAAAAAGTATTGATCCAGTGCTAATGGCTCCCACATGTGTATTTTTGGCATCCAAAGTAGAGGTAAGTAGGCAGCCTGCTACATGAGGAATTTTGGGCAGGTTGGACAGAGGGTATTTTAGCAGGTGATTTTCTGACTTTTATTTTCCCATGTTCTTTTGAAATAAATAGAAAGCCAGCATAGCCAATTAGTAGTAACTCATTAATACAATGAATTGACCTGATGATTGAGTAAATTAGTTTTTCTTCTCTTGGTCTTAATAAGCACCCCATCAAATCTGGCAACTGCAATCCTTTCCAGCAGCTTTGTGGTTGGACAAAGTGAAATGGTCACTAAATGAACATGTAACAGCTCTCAGAGAGGGAGAGGGGGAGGAAGTGGGGGGGGGGAGAGAGAGAGATCTTTGCAGAGTGTGTCTGCAAAGATGTGTCTCCATTTTTCATGCCTCCTTTTTCCTCTCTCACAGGGTGGAGAGATTGCTTAAACTAGCTATCCTCCTGAAATATTTTTCTTTGCAGTGCAGTATGTCCCTTAAAATTCTAACTGCAAAGTTAACCATCTCAACTCTATGACCTTAATTCACACTGAAGGCTTTGAAATTTCGTGGTCAACCCATGCATTGGTTGGAAATGAATTTGTTAATTACTGTTTATTACCATCTTATCTGTGAATGATCACCAAAAGGGGCAGTTGCTAAATGCGAAATTGCTGTATCAATAATTAGCACATTTAATACCCTTTTTCTGATAGAATTTTTCTGTTAGGGCTTCCCCTGCTCCAGCCTCCACAACATTTTGCTGGTCATATCAGCCAGTTGTTGTTTTCTGACTCTTGATCGTTTGGGATTTCAGTGCTTGCTTTGCAAGTTGTTTTACTGTTTTTGGCTATGGGGGATTAGCATCAAAGTGGCTTTCTGCCAACAGTATAGCAGCCAATGGAAACTGATGAAAGGAAAGAAGATACCTTTCTTTTCACGCAGAGAAAAATTGTTTATTGTAATATAATCTTTGAATCTGCAAAATACTGTGATTTTGACTAAACAAGAAAGATTGGCAGAAAGTTTACATCATCTCACATGGGATATTATGGAATTGGGCAGAGTGAGGCTTGGATGATTTTGCAATGCTGCCAAGTGAGGACAAAATGTGCTCTTGCTTTCTTTTTTCCCACAGATCCCCTCCGGTAATTTCACATAATGACCAAAGTTTGACATTTTGTTAGCGGGTGCTTCTGGAATTGTGTACTTTTCACCATTATTTTATTTTTGATGTTTTAGGAATTTGGGGTGGTTTCAAATACAAGATTGATATCTGCTGCTACTTCTGTATGTAAGTGTAATTTTTGCAAAGCTGTCGTCTTTCAGAGGAATTTTTAAATTAAATATTGCTTATAGTTATGGTGTTCAGACATATGGAATGGCACGCATGTGTGTGGGTGCATGAAAAACTAAAGAGCTGTTAACCTGTGTCTTATTGTATTGTGGGATACAATATGATACAATGCGATACAATATAATACTATTGGGTAGTATTGTATTGGTAAGAGCCATTAGGTGTAGTGGCTAAAGTTTGATGCCGTTTTGGTGTAATGGCTAAAGGCATCAGGCTAGAAACCAGGAGACCATAAGTTCATAAAGCCATCTGGGTGACCTTGGACCAGTCACTCTGAGCCGTAGGAATGAGGCCGTGGAAAACAACTTCTGAAAAACCTTGCCAAGAAAACTGCAGGGACTAGCCCAGGAAGTTTCCCAGAATTAGACACAATTGAATGGAAGAAAAAAAAATTACATTGGTACAATATTTAGTTTTTCTAAACTAGTGTATGCTTCTTTCCCATTTGATAATGTTTGAAACTTGCAGAAACTGATAAACATTGTGTAAACTGATCCTAATATATATTCCAGAAATATTTGTTTTGTTGCGATTTTGTATTGTAGATTTCTGTAAAATGCTGCTACCCAATATAAAAAATATGTATGTTCTCTTGTGCTTTCAAACTTAAATCCCTTAATTCAGCGTCTGGTATTCTAATTAAATTAAGGTGTAGCGAGAGAAGTAAGTATGCTAAATTAATTTTTACTGTTTTTATTTTTAAAAAGCATTCTTGATTTTTTTTCTTCTTTGTTGCAGTGAAAACTAGGTTTTCGTATGCCTTTCCAAAAGAATTTCCTTATAGGATGAACCATGTAAGTATACTCTAAGAAAACATTCCTTGCCTTAATACTTTCTTATCTTTTCAAAATGATTTTGAAAAGACATTTACACTTTTACTGTATATGGAAGAGTGGGAATTTTGAGAATATATCAACGTGTTGGTTTGTGATTTGCTGTAGTCCCAGCTGTTTTAAATTATTTAAAACTGAAGTTGAAAATTGAAGTAAAAAGAAAAGGGTCTTGCCATTGTGTCATCAGCTGTGGCTGAGAGACTCTAGAAGTGAGGCTTGAAGAAGAGGAAAACTTAAGGTAGTAAACTAGATTACTATCCACTATCATCTCTACATGGGGCTGCCCTTGAAGAGCATTTGGAAACTTTAACTGGTGCAACATGCAGCTGAATGGGCAGTAAATGGTGCAGACTACATGGCATGTGTAACACCACTACTGCACTGGCTGGTTGTCACCTTTAAAGCCCTACATGGCTTGTGACTGGGTTACCTGAGGGACTGTCTTTTTCTAAGTTTTTACCCATCCAGTCTGATCCAGCAGACATGCTGTAGATCCCCTCAGTCAAAAAGTGTTGACAGGCAGAAACAAAAAGATGGGCTTTTTTTAATGTTGTTGTTGTAGCCCCTGCCCTAACCCTATTGGGTTTTTGCAAAACTTTAAAAACTTTTTTATGTACCCAGGTTTGGGACTCAGAATGTGCTAAGAGCCCCATTACTTTGCTTTACTTATAGTTGATTAATCTTCATGGCTGCTGTTTGTATTATTTATTTTATGGATGTTTTTTATTGTTTTAATGTTTTTTTTTTTAATTGCTTTATAATTTTAGAATTGTAAGCTGTCCAGAATCACTTGGTTGAGTTGGGTGGCTATGGAAATGAATGAATGAATGAGTTTGATTGCAAAGAAGAAGAAATATAAGATAAATCAGTTGACCTCTGTAAAAGAGGTATTTGTTGGAGTAAAAAGTGTAATTTCAAAAAAGGGTTGCCTTATGCCTTTATAGAAATGGAAATGCCAAATGTTGTTGCTGCTGACAAAAAAAGCCTGTATGTTTTTGTTCCCTTGGTTTTCCAAGTTTAGAATCTTAATAGATCCAGCTGATCATAGAAAAGGATAATCTGTGGTTGGTCATGTTATTCAAGTTACATCCTTATAATTAATATATTTTTATGTCTATACAGATATTAGAATGTGAATTTTATCTGTTAGAGTTAATGGTAAGTTTATTTACTTTGTACATTCTGTTCAATCTCTTGTACAGTATCCATTCATTCAGTGACTGTTCAAAGTTACGATGGCACTGAAAAATGGATCTATGACGGATCCTTGATGTTCTGCACATTTCCCCCCCCCCTTCCCCCATAACATTATTGTAATCAGGTACTTAGATGCCTTGCATGTGATTGTAACATCGCAGAGTTGGGGGTCATGTGATCATTTGCGACTTTCCCTGGCTACACCAAGCAAAGTTTATGAGGGGCCAGCAGGGAAAATTGCAAGATGTTTTGTTAAGTCGCTCCCGCTTTTTTCCCTCATCCTCGGCAAACCCTTACCCATGTGAAGCCTCTGCCAGCCCTGTAAGGGCCTCCTGCAAATTGTGCACGGCCTGTGCAGGCCTTTCTTGACTCCCATAACTCCCACAAGGACTGCATTGGCCCTTCCAGGTCCTCCTGTGATTTCCTCCCACCCTCTCTGGTACCCCCATGGTTCTTACCTGGGATTCCTGCCTCTTCGTATTAATGATCAGTGAATTTGGAGGTTACAGTGGCAACTGGGACTGCCTGGGATTGTTATCACTGAACAGTGTAGTCATGTGATGTTGCACTTTACAACTGAATCACTTTGTGGCGGCAATCCCAGTCTCAATTGCTGTCGTAACGCAAGGACTACCTGTATTTAATGCACAGTACAAATACAGTTCCTCTCCTGATCATATCTGGAATATCATCTCCCAAAATGTTCCTACTTTCCACATGTGTGCCAGAACACTTGGATTATTCTGTACTTGGAGAAAAAAATGATGAGATATAGTGGGCTATGAGAATAATCTTAGAGAAAGGATGAAAAGCTATAGATTGAGAAGGTTGTGTATTATTTCCTATTTTTTACATGAACTTAGAACTGATGCCAGATGAGAAGTAATTTATAGATCTAAGATTGCATGAGAAAAACATGTCCAGTGTATTAACTGAAATAACTGGCTTGAGGATAAGTATGCAGATTTGTTTATGAGAAAGTGCCCTGCCTTTCGTTTTAAATAGGAAAGCTTTTACAAAGGATACTCCACTGTGAGAGGGATCTTGGAGTCCTAGTGGACAGTCACTTAAATATGAGCCAGCAGTGTGCTGCAGCTGCAAAAAAGCCAACGCAGTCCTAGGCTGCATTAATGGAAGGATAGAACCAAGATCACGCAAAATGTTAGTACCATTTTATAATGCCTTGGTAAGACTATACTTGGAATATTGCATCCAGTTTTGGTTGCCACGATATATAAAAAAAATGTTGAGACTCTAGAAAGAATGCAGAGAAGAGCAACAAAGATGTCTAAGGGACTGGAGGCTAAAATGTATGAAGAACTATTGCTGGAATTGGGTATGGCTAGTTTAACGAAAAGGATCACCGGGGTGACATAATAGCAGTGTTCTAATATCTAAGGGGCAGCCACAAAAAAGAGGGGGTCAATCTATTCTCCAAAGCACTTGAAGACAGGAGAAGAAACAATGGATGGAAACTAATCAGAGAAGCAACCTAGATCTAAGGAGAAATTTCCTGACAGTTAGAAGAATTAATCAGTGGAACAACTTGCCTCCAGAAGTTATGGGTGCTCCAAGACGAGGTTTTTAAGAAGAGATTGGACAACTATTTGTCTGAAATTGTATAGGGTTTCCTGCCTGAGCAGGGGGGTTGGACTAGAAGACCTCCAAGGTCCCTTCCAACTCTTACTCTGTTATTCTGTTAATGTTACTCAAGCCGAACTTTATATTTACAAAATAAATGAAACCACTGAGTGTTGATACTGTTTTTTTTTTCCACTCAAATTTTCTCTATATTAATAGGATTTCCACAAAGCTTCTTGTATATTGCTATTCTGTAATAGAGTGTACTGTGCCAGTGTTTATTTCCAGTGAGGGTGTTGTGGGCAAATCAGGTTTCTATGTGCTGCAAATGTGTCAGCAGTTGTGTCTCAGAGGGAGAAAGAATTTGGTAAGCTGCCAGTCAGTTTAGAGAGGAATTATTTCTGTGAAGACAACTACTGTCTTTGTAATAAATGGCACTATAAACATCAAAGAAGTACTTAATATGTTGAGTATTGTGAATGATGATGATGATGCTTTTGACATTTTTCCTAAACACAATCTTCCTAGGACTGCTGTTTGATAGTATATCATCCCTATAGACCTCTACTTCAATATGTACAAGATATGGGCCAAGAAGACATGCTGCTGCCCCTTGCTTGGTAATGTAGACAAACTATTTAAAAAGTCCTTTAGCCTAAGTAGAAAACCTAGGAAAATTATTGACCTGAATAAAATTGTTGCCTGGGGATCTGCTTAATCCACTTTGGAAAATGCATGAAAACATAAAGTTGTTTAATTCATTGATTTGGAAAGGAGGGTGGGTTTGACCAATTTTTTATGAATGAGATAATCCAGCAGATTTCCTACTATTTCTCCTTATAGTCTGAACATACAACTGAAAAGCTCATGATGAAGTTTGCCTTGCTGCATGGAAGATGAATACACCTAGTACAGGGGTAGGCAACCTTGGCTCTTTTATGACTCGTGGACTTCAACTCCCAGAATTCCTGAGTCAGAGTGGCTGGCTCAGGAATTCTGGGAGTTGAAGTCCACGAGTCATAAAAGAGCCAAGGTTGCCTACCCCTGACCTAGTATCTCTGTGCAGAGTTCTGTTGTTTAGGGAAAAGTAATGCCAATGTTCCATATAGAAAAAGACATAGAAATTATATATATATATATATATATATATATATATATATATATATATATATATATATATATATATAATACACACACACACACACACACACACACACACACACACACACACATACATACATACACACACACACACACATACACACATACATATATATGTGTGTGTGTGTATACACACACACACACATACACATACATGTAGGTCTTTGGTTATTCGGGTTTTCTCCCGTGTCAAATTGGAAGTGTCTTGGTGACGTTTCGACGAAGTCTCATCCGTCATCTTCAGGCTGGTGTTTTCGGCTTCGTGCTTCTAGGAGCAATGTGTGATCGTAGCTGTTTCTTCCTTTTAACTGCCAGTGGGGGTATGAACTGATTGGAGGAGAGCTTGGCTGTGTTCTGATTGGATGGAGGTGTGTTCTGATTGGTTAGGAGCTTGGCTGTGCTCTGATTGGTTGGGGGAGTGTTTTGTTTGGGTGGGGGCTTTGTTGTGCTCAGGTTAATCTGAGTTGCAGGGGGATGTGAGATGGTGAGCATTGCTGTTGTTTGACTTCGCGTTCGTGGTCATGCCTCATCTTCATGGAAGTGGCCAGCAAATGGCCCTCGCCCACTTGATGGGCTCTGCTCTGGTCCCACCCCCTTCTGCCAGAGATCCTCAGATCTGTCCCACTCCTGCCCAAGCCCCCACAGGCACCCTTGACGCGAATGATGTAGAACTGGCCACGCCCACCCAGTAGGCCGCACCCACTCCATCCATGCCCACCCAGATCGCATCCACCCTGGCCACAGCCACCCGGACCCCCAAGGGCAACCACAATGCTGATGTGGCCCTCAATGAAATTGAGTTTGACATCCCTGGATTATACCCATTACATCAGATACTGTATTTAAAGGAAAAGTAAGCTCCTATCTCTGTTTCATATTGTTTTGACTCCCATCATGTGTGGAGTCATGAATGACAACTTGCTGATCTGTTGCTTTTGTCTGTGCAGGAGGATAGTGAATGACACATACAGAACTGATCTTTGTCTGCTATACCCTCCTTTCATGATAGCTCTAGGTATGTTAACGTTGTATGCTGTATCACTATTTGAATGGAATGGTTTAAGATAGAGTTGCATCCATGGCCATTTTCATAGAAATTCTGGTGTTATAGTGAAAGCCTCAACTATTTCATTTTCCAGCTAATAACTGAACTTTCATTGTCCAGACATACAATAAAAGAATGGTAAACTGGGAAACTATTCTTTAAGTGTGCATCCTAAGTGAGCGTAAATAATTACATCTGTAGAATGATATAATAGAAAATCCAGTTTGGAGAGGGAGGCAGTAGCACACAGAACATGTTCTGACAATGTGTTTTTCATTTAATAACGTAAAAACACTTGTACCAGAAATTTTGTGTCTTAAGTTTACCTTTCAACCATATTCTTTCTTTATAGCTTGTCTACATGTGGCTTGTGTTGTTCAGCAAAAGGATGCTAGACAGTGGTTTGCCGAACTCTCTGTTGATATGGAGAAGGTAGTTATATTTTATTTAATAATTACAGATTTACAGAAAGTAACTTGTGTAGATTGGTACAGTATCAGCCAATTCAACAAAATAGGTAAGATGAAAGCTGTTTATTGGCCCAGCATCCCTTGGTGAAAAATTGAAAAACTTATACAGTGGGGGGGGGGATTATTTGAACCCCTGCTGATTTCGTATGTTTTTCCACTGATAAAGAAATGATCAGTCTATAATTTTAATGGTAGGCTTTTTTTAGCAGTGAGAAGTAGAACAACAACAACAAAAATCCAGAAAAATGCATTTCAAAAAAGTTATAAATTGATTTGCATTTTAATGAGTGAAATAAGTATTTGATCCCTTCGTAAAACATGACTTTGTACTTGGTGGAAAACCCTTGTTGGCAATCACAGAGGTCAGACGTTTCTTGTAGTTGGCCACCAGGTTTGCAGACATCTCAGGAGGGATTTTGTCCCACTCCTCTTTGGAGATCCTCTCCAAGTCATTAAGGTTTCGAGGCTGACATTTGGCAGCTCGAACCTTCAGCTCCCTCCATAGATTTTCTATGGGATAAAGGTCTGGAGACTGGCTTGGCCATTGCAGGACCTTACTGTGCTTCTTCTTGAACCACTCCTTTGTTGCCTTCGCCGTGTGTTTTGGGTCATTGCCATACTGGAATACCCATCCACGACCCATTTTCAATGCCCTGGCTGAGGGAAGGAGGTTCTCACCCAAGATTTGACTGTTCATGGCCCCACCCATCATCCCTTTGATGTGGTGAAGTTTTCCTGTCCCCTTAGCAGAAAAATACCCCCAAAGTATAATGTTTCCACCTTCATGTTTGACGGTGGGGATGGTGTTCCTGGGGTCATAGGCATCATTCCTCCTCCTCCAAACATGGTGAGTTGAGTTGATACCAAAGAGCTTGATTTTGGTCTCATCTGACCACAAAACTTTCAGCCAGTTCTCCTCTGAATCATTCAGATGTTCATTGGCAAACTTCAGATGGGCCTGTACAGGTGCTTTCTTGAGCAGAGGGACCTTGCGGGCGCTGCAGGATTTCAGTATTTCACAGCATAGCATGTTACCAATTGTTTTTTTTGGGGGGTGACTACGGTCCCAACTGCCTTGAGATCATTGACAAGATCCTCCCGTGTAATTCTTGGCTGAGTCCTTACCATTCTCATGATCATTGAAACTCCACCAGGTGAGATCTTCCATGGAGACTCAGACCAAGGGACATTGACAGTTATTTTGTGTTTCTTCCATTTGCGAATAATCGCACCAACTGTTGTCACCTTCTCACCAAGTTGCTTGGCAATAGTCTTGTAGCCTATTCCAGCCTTGTGTAGGTCTACAATTTTGTCCCTGTTATCCTTGGACAGCTCTTTGGTCTTGGCCATGGTAGAGTGTTTGGAATCTGATAGATTGATTGCTTGCTTCTGTGGACAGGTGTCTTTTATATAGGTGGCCTGCAAAATGTTTTCAGGATAAACTCCATGATCCCAGAATACCTTCAAATCTTTCTTATGTGAAGTATATACTTATTGCAGTCACCATAGATCTGCACAAAACTATTTTTCATCTATTTTCTTTTAGATCTTAGAAATAATCAGGGTCATTTTGAAACTGTACGAACAATGGAAAAACTTTGATGAAAGGAAAGAAATGGCTACAATTCTAAGCAAGATGCCTAAACCAAAACCGCCTCCAAATAGGTAAGTTTTCAAAATATGTACATTTGAATAGAAGATCAATTGTAAAACATTTTAAGAACAATCCATTTGTAGAGAAAATAATTTTAGACTTGGATGCTCCTAGTGAAGAAATCCTTCACTATTCAACCTCCATAGACGGTTGTTGGTAGATTTTGAGAGTCCCATGTAGTTTGACTTCTCCCCATTTTATGCTTGAGTTCTTTGGGTTGACTCAGGTAAAGAAGAAGGCAGCTGCATTTTTACAGGCCTCATAGTTCTTATGGTTGTTCCATTGAAATTTGGTATAAATTATAATTTTCCAATGTCGTTTGGTTTTGCATTTTTCCGCAGAGGGGAGTATAGATAACAATAAATGGACTGTGTTGACTTATTGTATCTATTCTGCATATTAACCATCAAAGGACGTTACACATCCTCTTCATGACCTGTTTTCCTTGTTACCTTCTGGGAGGAGGCTTTGTGATATCCAAAGCAGAATATACAGATTCAGTCACAGTTTTGTTCCAAATAGCATCAACCCTGTGAACTCTCAAGTTTCCTCTTTCCACTATGTATTCAAAATGGACAGTGATCAATATATATAATATTAATAAAATGTATGGGTAGATATAGACTTTCTTTTGAGAGCTGGCAACAGATTTTCATTTTAATGTGAGCGAGTGTGCCCACAGTAAAAAATGACAATAAAGCTTATCTTAATCTTAAAATCAAATGTGTTTATAGTCATTTTAATAATAATTATATAATGTAATAATTTCCTGCTTTGTTTCAAACAGTGAAAGTGACCAGGGTCCAAATGGAAGTCAGAATTCTAGCTACAGTCAGTCTTAAGACATTCCAAAGAAATGAACTGTGGACCACTTTGGATTAAGGCACATTGGGATCTTTTCATATGTGGAAGACATGGACAGAAGGTTTCATTGTCTTTTCAGATAGAACACAATGTTTCTATCAAGTGTACAAAAGCTTTTCCTTAAACACACACCCATTTGAATTGTGATACAAGAATAATCAAAAACTTTGGATATAAATAATGATGTAATTCAGTATGGACAGACTATAGTAAATTTTGTTATTTGAAAGAAATAGTGGTGAGTTAAACAAACTGTGTTGACACAAAGATGGATAACTGTGAATGGATCTTTCTTGCAACTATACTTGTTTAACTACGGAATACAAGAGATGACTTGAGAAGTTGGATTTGAGATCCTAATTTTCTAGGTATATACTTGCCAATGGATGTTTCAAGAATGCACTGCTGTAGTAAATGCCTTAGAGAAAAGAAAAAAAATTTCCTTAAAAAGTATAAAATGTTGCATTCCTCATCTGAAGTTTAAGGAGATACTCTACAATACCTGTAGTTTGCTAGAGGAAATCCAGGATACTCCCAAAGTGCAATATATATAATGAAAACTGTGGCTGTTTTAGGAAAGAATGTGCTTTATGTCCTTGACATATTTTGCAATCCAATCAAGTAAAGAATCTAACCTATTTGAGGTTGTAATGGTGGATATGTTGTGTGCTAGAAGTTTCTCTTCTGCTTTCCTTGTTACTAGGAATGACTTGTCTCTTGAGAAAGCAGAAGCAGTTGAGACTATGATTCCATAATAAAATATAAATTACTGTACAAATTAACACAAGAATCATTCAAAGACAGGATGTTCCCTTTTTTAAATTCAAGGGCCATATGCTGTGTTCTTTACTCAGACTTCCCTATTTAAAAAGGGATTTAGTCTAGAGCTCTGAAATATTCATGGACTATTTGTTTGGGACCCTAAAATGAGTTAAAAGTAGCCTGTCTTTCAGTCTAAAGTAGCTCTCCTCAACATAATGCCTTCTAGCTGTATTAGATTACTGTTGCCTTCAGACCAACCAACATGGCCATGTTAATGGAGGATTAGGGAGATCAAAATACAGCACATAGTGAAGGTGCCAGTTGGGAAAGGCTGCTTTAAGATGGCCTTTCACCCAAGGGAGCATTATTCTGCCATGATACAAAGGAACATTGGTTGAAAGAGTATTGTCAAATGGTGCTTGTTCTAAAACTTGATCTAAAAGCAGCAGTGCCTGCCTCTACTTGAGATGTCACTGAATTAAGGGTAACCAAAGTGTTTTTGTATGCAAACGCTTGGGCTCTCTACACTTAAGTGTTGGAAGTTATTTTTTTACAGAGTGTTTGGATACTGACTTACAAAAACAATTGTGAGGATTTTTTTAATTTTAGCCTTTTCATGTTCCCTTTTTAGTTTTGCTAATTTTGTTGATGCTGGTCATGTTGTCCCACACATTTGCTAACAATTGGTTAAGGCACCACATCTGTTGTATTTTAGAAATTACTTTGCTAACTTGGGGATTTCAGCATTATTTGTAATATGGACTAGCTGCATAGGAATAAAACAATGGAATTTAACAACATTGACTTATTTTATTTCAGAATCATAAGCAATAATTCTTACAAATACTGCATCAGATCATAGGGGCACAGCATACATTTTAAAAAAGTTTTGTTTGGAGTGCCTTATCACAGTTGCAAGTAATGTATTTCCCTTTTTGCTCTGTGGGTATGAGAAAAGAAACACACATCAAAGGTTGGAAAGCTATTTTCTATATTCAAATGAACAAACAAAATTTTATTAATTTCATTATCTTAAAGTGGGACATAATGGTTCTTATACCATTCAGCACATAGCACTGTATTGGAAATTCAGTGTTTTCATGTAATCTCTCAGCAATTTTATAGAAGAAGTTTACGTAGAAAGAGATTGTGTCCCTAATCTAAATACTGCATATAAAAACCTTATCACAGATACAACACATATGTGCTCTAATCAGTTTCCCCTGCATGTACAAAAGTGTTTTCTCAATATTATTTCTGCAAATATTTAATATCTAGAGATATTTCAAGGTCAAGAACAATAAGCAGGACTGAGGCTTAATTCCTGAATTATGAAGTTGAAAAAAAATACAGGTCCCATCTATAACCTGGCTAAACATTTTAGTGCCATTTCCCCTAGTTTTGCATTTAACATTTTATAGTACATTTTTGTTTCCTGGCCAGAGATACACATAATTTCTCATGAGATGGGCAGTTATAAAAATTTGATTAGCTAACTTAATTCCAATTTATTTTACTTAATATCATTTATTACAAAATATATTGCAATGATCAGTTGTAAGTTTCCTGAATCTGTTTCAATTGATTTTTAAAATTTAAACAGAAAAATTTCCGTGTTAACCAGACTAAACATTTGAAGCATATCTCAGCTTTTTTTTTTGTTGGCAAAATAACCAATATGCTTAAATGCCTTTTATACCTTGATGCCCTTTTATTAAATAGAATTAGCTATAGACCTCTGCGTTTTCAGAATACATACAATTTGTGCATTCTAGATATCATTTCTTCTTTGAACATTCATACTCCAGCCATTCGTTGAAGCCACCAGGGTAATGCTGAACTCTGAAAGTATACAAGACAGTTTCTGTAACATTTCTTACTGCACAAACCACTTTCAGGAACATTATTCTCTTAAGAGTAGGCTGATCAGAGATGCAGGAGAAATACTCTGGCATAGTAATTTTATATCAAATAAGGCAATAAAAACATGTATAGTATCTTCCTCAAAGAGTAAACAATTTAAAGTTTGAATCATAGTAGTTAAATACTTTTGGATATCAATGAGATAATAAGTAATTTTGAGTAATGGCAAATATAAGGATGTAGAATAAAATGTTTCTTTAGTTGTTCTTAAATGAGACATGCTTAGTACTTGACCATTCCATTTGATTTTGGTTAAGTATATTAGAATTTTTAAACAGACTCTGGCTTGGAATACTTGAATCCAAACACTGAATTTCACAGGGTTACAAACAATATTTTCTCACAGTACTTTCAAGCTTGTTCTTTTTCTAATCAGCTAAGTAAAAGGTTGAATAATGACACCATCTTTAAATTGTAGGGTAAGAATCATCTAGAAGCAGTGTATTTCTGTTTAAAAATGGATTGATATTCCTTAAAATATATTAAACCCAACTGGGAAAGGCGATACCTATATTGGAAAATAAAATAGTGATGCAAATGTGAGTCTTGTCACAAAGTTTTAAACACTGAATTATCTTTGTCCTGAATTAACTACATGATGGCACCTGTTTTTCTTCTACAAACATGCTTTGGGAAGGCTACAAGACAATTTCTATTACAATGAAATAGTGTAAATGCAAGTTTTTGATGGAGCAGATTTGAGCTCTTAGTTCATTTAGTACATCCAGATGTGTTATTCAGAAACCACCAGACACTATTGGATCAATCTATTCATTGCATTTTAAGAGCAAAATGTTAAAAAATAAACACTTTCCCCTGATTTGTATTTCTCCTTTTAAGTCCATAATATTATAAAATCAAACTAGAATCAACTCCATTTACAATAACACTACACTGCCTTAAACCTATCTTTCCTGAATGTTTTACACTTACCTGCTGAAACCCAATGATTTCGCAACAGCCACAGCCTGTTTGCTTCTCACCCCAGCAAGACAGGAAAACACTACATGATCTGATTTAGAAGGTATATCTTGATTGTATTTCTCTTTAAAATATACTGAGTCCATCTGTAAAGCTTCCATAACTTGTCCCACTGTAAAAAAGTAAACCATCTCAATTGATTTAATTGCTTTTTTGTGATGCCCCATTGGCTGAAGTACCATTTTCATGTTAAGCCATAAAGTGACCCACTACATATGGCATGCCGTGTGCCACAATGGCAACCAAAGACATGCAAAGTGACATCACAATGCAAATCTTGCTCTTTTCTATTTGTATCCCAATGCTGGACACAAGTACACAAGTGACGGCCTGTGTAGTGATGTTTATTTTGTTGCTTGTACCTCTTTGATTTTTCTAGATGACTTATCATAAGGATTGGCCTTCACAAATCCTAGTACAGAAAGTACCACGCATAAGATAATTCCATGTTTTCCTCCCCTTAGTATACACTACAGTAAATTGGATTTGTTTTTTCCTTGCTCTAAATCACCCAGCAGCAACTTACATGGAATACTGATTGATCCAGGAATTTTTCCATGCTCTGCAATTTCCCATTTTTCTCTAACATCAATAAGCCAGATGGCCTTTGATTCCAACAAATCTCTGAGTTGTTGGTAGGAGATGACACTATGATCCTCAGTTGTGCAAAAGTGGCGAACGATTTGTCTCCTGTTTTTTGGATCTGTGTAAAAAAATAAAAAAGTTAACAATAGTACTACAGATTCTGACATGATCATCAAAGCACTAATTTCCTTCTAAGTGCTTCTGGGCAACAACACCAGCTAGGGAATCAATGCATTGACCAAGCATTTAAATGGACAAGCAGAGTCCAGACTTGTTCTCTGTATATTTACACTATAGCAGTTTTCCAGATCACTTGAATTTTATATATTTCTTTCCTCTGCTCAAAAAAGGCAGCTTAGGCTGCATTTTACAACACAAAAGTTGTGTTGGCTTAACCCATGAAACTGATGTATTAAGCCACATGATGGTTGAATACGATAGTCTGGTTCATACACTATTTTAATCAATATGGTTTGATTTTAGTTTAATCTTTTTGAATTGTAAACCATGGTTTTTGTTTTAGCATACTATGCGAATGTAGTGGAGTCAGAAACTACAGGAAATCATTCCAATTCTCTTGGAAAAGTCTTTGGTACATTTTTATAAAATGAGGAATACCAACTTTTATGACTGCTTTCTCTTATACCATTTGAAGAGCTAAACGCATTCACCTGTATCTTATGCAACAATCCATGGCTTAGCATGTGAAAACTAGTTTATAGTTGTACTTGTTTCGGTGTTATCACTACAGTGTTGATGTAACACTGAAAGTATCTTCTACCATAGGCCTGCTAGTCAGAAAAAAATACCAGTTAGATTTTTTTTTTACAAATGAGGAAGTCAGGCTAAAAAACAGCAGAGAAACTGCCAAACCCACTAACGTAAACTTAAATCTGAACCGATTCCAATGGAAGCTACAAAGGGCCTCAGTCTAGACCAGTGTTTCTCAACCTTGCCCATTTTAAGGCACGTGGACTTCAACTCCCAGAATTCCACAGCCAGCAATGCTGGCTGTGGAATTCTGGGAGTTGAAGTCCACGTGCCTTAAAATGGGCAAGGTTGAGAAACACTGGTCTAGACTCTAACTCCTCGTTCAGTCCGCTTTCCACTGATGACGTTGCTACTAAAGCAATCGAAGTCTTTCAAAGCTCAGTATTTTTTCGGGAACAACCAAGTTAAAACATTTGCCCATCACTTAGCACTGACGTTAGAAACCAGAAACGAGAACGCCCTCCTAGCTCCGACTCTCCCATTACTGCCGTAGCACTTACAGCCTGAAGGGCAAAGGGGACCAATGCCAGCCACCGATTCAAATCTATGCAGGACTCTCTCACGGTGGCTCCATGTCAGCTGGCTTATCTTTCGTCCACCGTAGCCGCTTAGCCTTCTTGCAGCTGGCTGCGTAATTAAACCAAACGTTAATTGAACCAGCTGTCTGCAACATCCTTGCATGCTTCCTACTGCTGCGGAACTAGTTTGAAGGCCACCGCCCAGTTCGGCTGGGCTTCCCGAATATAGTAGGCCAGGCGATTCGCCTGTCTCCTTGGCTGCGCTTTCCTAGGAAGGTGCATCTCAGCTGGAACAAGAAATACCAGTTGAAAAATCAGGAGTACTGTTCTTTTACTTTCAGGGCTAAATTATTTCTCTGACTGGAGCCCGATTGCTCATCCAAGAAGCCAGTGATTGTTGCAGGACGAATAAGAGTAATTGTATTTCAGAAGGCTAAAGATTCTTTGGACAGTTTCATAAACAAGAAACTAAACCAAATGTGATTTGGAGCATGGTTTGTTAAACTGTAGTTTAGTTGGTATGACAGCTACCAAATCAGGGTTGCAACAATTCGGGTGACCAGGAAAGGGCAACAAGGACACAAAATACTCTAGATCTCTGTTAAAGTCTGATTAAGTTACTTTAACTGGAAAATAAATATGGACTTGGAAGAAAATCCAACACAGGAACCAACAGCTGACTTCACAAGAGGCCATAATGTGGCTTGTTTGGATTTGTGTGATTCCAGACATCTTGCAATGCAACACTTCCCCCCACCCCCAGGAATTAGTAAAGATCCTTTGTTTTTTGCTAAGTATATATAAGAAAGCATCCCATGTAAATTGGCCTATTTTCTATGGAGAATAAATACTAGCTGACCTAATAAAGCTCCAAACGTATCAATAGTATTATCATTAGTATTATAGTATTATGTATAGTTTTTTTTATAAACTGAACTGTGATCATAAGCTTTTACGGCAAGGTTTGGGCACTAGAGAATGACTACTTCTGCTGTAGCTAGGGAAAATATAACCTACATGTATACAATTTGTATTCATAAAACTGTTTAACAAACCTTAACTAGTCAAAGATTTCAAATTTCATTAAGCTTTATAAATATATTAGTAGGTTAAGATTCTGTTAGTTCCTCTTGACTGGTTTAAAGAATATTTCAATATTTTGGCCGCCCATATATATATATTACTACCACTGAGATTCCAGGTGGACCTTTGGTGCAATAGCATTAACAAGGTTTCTTCTACAGAAATCTTTCAAACTTCATTGCTCTAGTCTAGCGGAAAGATAAATTTTCATAATAAAGTGGGAATTAATTCATGTTGCTCTTCAGGTTCTTTACCAAGGGATTGTAACTATCATTTTTTAAACAACATTGTACCCATCTTCCCTCCCTCCCTGGGTAGATGGATGGATGGATAGATATTCATAATACTATGAAAGTTTTTTAACAGCTAGCTGGGTGGTATATATTGATTTTAGATTTTTATATGCAAGACATATTACTGTTTCAAACATAACCTGGTCCCAAGCTATGAAGGGTGACAACACTTTGAATTGCACCCAGAAGCAAATCGGCAACTAATGCAGCTCCTGCAGGAGAGGTGATACAGGTGCACACCAAGGTCTATACAAAACCATGTAGGCTGCTGCATTTTGCACCAACTGGACCTTCTGGGTGTTTTTCAGGGGCAGCCCCATGTACAGCGCATTGCAATAGTCAAGACGGGAGGTGACTAGGGCACGAGTGTTGGTCCAGGAAAGGGTGTAACTGCCGCACAACCCACAGTTGTGCAAAGGCCCTCCTGGCTGTGATTGCCATCTGCTCTTCGAGCAGGAGTCGTGAGTCCAGGAGAATCCCCAGATTAAGCACAGGGTGTTTGGGGCAGTGCCACCCCATCCAAGACCAAAGATGGCAAGTCTCCATAGGCCAAAGAACCCCTAACTCAGAACCATTTTGTCTTGCAAAAGTTCAGTTTCAACCTGTTGCTCCCCATCCAGCCCCTAACAGCCTCCAGGCACTGCGAAAGGGAGGTTATGGCATCTCTTAACAGCCTTAACTCACCACAGATTGAGATATAAAGCTGAGTATCATCAGCATATCAATGATATCTCAGTCCATGGTGATGGATGATCTCACCCAACAGCTTCATGTAGATGTCGAATAGGAGCAGAGAGAGCACCAACTCCTGCAGGACGCTGCAAAGCAGTGGGTGAGGGCTGGATCTCTCATTTCCTATTAACACCAAATAAGAGTGACCTTGGAGGAAGGAAGTGAACCAGGATAGCATAGAACTCCCCACTCCCAACCCCCAAAGCCGTTCCAGGAGGATGGTATCAATGGTATCAAAAGCCACCGAGCGGTCAAGTAGAGCAAGGATGGAGGCACTACCCCCAATCTGGTCCTGCTAGAAATCATCAAAAAGTGTGACCAATGCCGTTTCTGTCCCATATCCAAGTCTGAATCCTGACTGGTAGGGGTCTAGATATTCCGTTTCATCCAGAAACCTCTGGAGCTGCCATGCAACCACCTTCTCAACAACCTTCCCCAGAAAGGGAAGATTGAAGACAGGTTGAAAATTATCCAACAGGGTGGAATTCATCGATGGCTTCCTGAGAAGAGGGCGGACCACACTTGAAATTAACACTTCAATCTGTACAATATACACTGTACAACATACAGTACCTTCAGATTGATATTTAAGAATTGGTGTCAAGCATTTTCTCTTTTTTATATAAACTGACCCTATTTCAGAACTGGCTTTTTTTCATCCCAAGAAGTGCATTTAAATAAACATAACACTGATTTCATTTTTTAAATAAAGCAAAGCTCAACCATATTTCTAAATGGAAAATATAATAAATTTAAACTGGCATACAAACTGGTTCTGTAGTTGCTGGCTGTCAGCTTGGCTATATGACATCCTTTTGTATAGCAGTTTCAAAATGGTAATATATTCATTTAAGATATGATTATAAATGGCACCTAGTGATGATAATAGTTCTTCCAGGGTCAGAGGCAGGACCTGAATGATGAACTCTGGACTTTTAGGAGCATCCAATTGGCCACTGTTTCAAATGGCACGATAATCTAGATAAGCATGCAATTTAACCTAGGATAACTCTTAAATTCTTACAGACAGCCATTCTCTGTTCAATGCATTCCTACAGTCTACAGTTTTGTTCCACTTGAAGAGGGTTCTTGGCAGATATCAAAGGCTTCTTTCCCTCTTTACAAGCCGAATGGAGAGAAAAAAAAAAGGGGAGAGAAAAAGAGTAGTTGGTTTCCCCCTCCAATTTCACCTGTGAACTGCAATGTCTGCTCTATGGGGAAGCTTGTTCTCCCTAAGCCAGATAGATCTGCGGATCAGCTTTTTTACATTTCTCTTGGGAGCTGCCAGGTAAGGGTGTGTGCGTGCGTGTGTGCAGGGCCACAGCAGGCGGTGTGGAAAGCTGTGGAACAAAACCAAACTTCTGCATTAAAAAAAAAGCATTTTTTTCCCATCTGCAAAACGTGGAGGTGGCTGGGATGCCTAACACAGATTAAAGGGACCTTTCTCTTCTCCTTTGGAAACCCACTTGGGCATGAAAGTTGGGGCGACGCATTGCGCCCGGAGATCGAATTTCTGCTCGAGCCGGCGGCGGCCTCGCTCGGAAACCCCAATCCTTGGGAATTGAACGGCAAATACCGACACACACCCCCCCGACCCTAACGCGCCTAGTAGCTGCTGAGCACCCTTCAGCCAAGCAGCGAGCCCCAGCCGGACCGCAGTTCTGGCTGTGCGAAACGGGGACGGGACAGAACGGGACGGGACATCACCCTGCCGGGCGGCAAGGGACGGTATCCTGCTGGCAGAAGGTCCGCTTCCTGCTCCTCCTCTTTCGGTTGTCGCTTTAGCCGGCTGCCTCTCTGGGCGAAGCAGAAGCTCAGCGCGGTGAGTTAGGAAAAAGGAATAAGCGGTGGCGGGGTCTGCTGAGCCGGGGAATCCCCCGGAATCTCGCCCGCTGGTGGGGTCCGCAGCTGAGGGCAGGGGACTCGGAAAGCAGGTCGCGCTCGCTCGAGTTTTCCGGAAGGGGGAAGATTGGCTTCTGGCGGGCCTTCCTAGCAGCCTTTTCTGACCTCAAGTAGTAGCAGCACGTCGCCCGGGTCTTCCACTCCGCCGCCTTCAAACCTGGGGGCGGAGATGGGACTGCGGAATGACAGAGTCGCCCCCGAGACGAGGCTTCCTTTTTGACTTGGTTTATTGTTTGAAGGTCGGTGATCTTTCCCGGCTCCCGAGACACTTGCTAGATGAGCTTCTGCCTGACTCTCTTACCCTTCCTTGCATTCGAGGTGCTGCCTAGAAAGCCAAGAGCTGGGATCTTGCTCAGCAACTTGTGGCCTGCCGTAGCCCCTCCCCCCCGTTTAGGTTTTGTAAGTGCTTGTGAGAATTGTGTGGAAGGCCTGGTTTATAAGGGTTTCTGGGAGGAAAGCCTGGGGGGGGGGGCGCTACGATGTTTTCTGTGTTTTGTTTTTTTTAAGTGTCTCACTGGTGTCATAAAATTGACTTCCTATGCAGTTATGTGCAGTTTGTATTATGGTGTGGCCTCTAAGAATGTGGAATGTGGAAACCAGGAGGCCACAACACAATTTACTTAGGCACCATAAGACCCTGGCAATCTAATGTTCCCCCTGACAACTATACTGTACGCTGGCTGTACCTTATTCCAATCTTATGGAATATGGTTGGAAACATGCAGAAGAGGCCCTCATCCTGCAGTGGCTAGACAATGGCTAAAACGATGAAGACCTTGGCAATCTAATGTCTCCCCCCCCCACAACTGTTACTGCTGTCTGTATCTTATTCCAACCGCTATATTAAACAGTTTTGTTGGTCCCTGATGTTCAGCAGAAAAAAGGTTTTCTTAGGAAATTTGAGAGAGAGCTAAAGTGCGCCAAATTTATTCTGTTTCTCCCTTTCTTTAGGGAAATATGATTACCGGTATATGAACAATCTCCTGGGAGAGATCTGTATCGTAGTCTTTGGGAAGGAAATGCATGCTGTGCCATTGGCTATTTTATCAGCTAATCAGTGTCTTCAAAATATTCTCTTAATAAAGAGAATAAACCCACCTGATGCCCCAAAATATATATTTTGATACACTGATGGCTGCTGCAAGTTAGTGGAGAAATAGTATTCCAGAAAAAGGGTTATTCACCAGTCAGAGGATCTTTGATTTAGAGAGGTATTACAGATTTAGTAAGCTGACTTGCCTGAAGATGTGGCCCTGCTGCTGCTATATTGTAAGTGAAATTATGCAGTGAAAATTATAGAGCTCTTACAAGTGCTCCTCAACTTACAACCATTTAGTGGCCATTCGAAGTTACGGTGTCACTGAAAAAAGTGACTTACAAATGTGCCTCACGTGACTGTCACTACTTCCCCGTTATCATGGGATCAAAATTCAGGGGCTTGTCAACAGGCATATTTGCAACCTTCCCAGCCAATTTCTGACAAGCAAAGTCAATAGAGGAAGCCAGACTGACTTAATTACCACATGATCCACTTAATAACTGCAGTGATTCACTACTAAACCATGGGAAGAATAAAAAAAGGTCGCAAAATTGGGTCTGATTCACTTAATACCTGCCTTGGTCAGCCACAGAAATTCCGGTCTCAGTTGTGGTCATAAGTGGAGGACTACCTGTATTTATTCGATAAGCTGCCAACTGATAAAAAGTTAAAGAGGATGTATTTAAAAAGGATCTTAAAACCTATCAGGACAAATAACTCCAGAGTGTGTTTGTTAGTATTTTCCTTTTTTTTTTTTTTGAGTCATTGGTTTTAAGAGTAGCTGTCTACCCAGCAGTATAGCTGTAATTCTTGTAGTTAATTATTAAATGAGAGGTTTGTTCCATGGATGGCTTTGTGTTTTCCATTAAAAAGTGTTCCATTAAAATGTGGCGTATTTAGCTAAACATTAGTTTGGGATAATTTCTGTGTGATAAAACTGTCTTGTCATTTCATATAAAACATGATTTACTCTCAACTACCACCCCCCCCCAAAAAAAATTCAAGCGCATCACCATAAAACCAGTTTCTATTTGGAATAAAAAAGTAACAAAAATACTTACAGAACATTCCACACCAAACCAGGTAAGATATTATACATGGGACTAAGAAGCAAAGAAACATGTATACAAAATATATGCTTCATTCTCTTGCATTTCTTATGCTACAGGCTGGTGCATCACTTTATAGCAGTGGTTCTCAACCTGTGGGTCGGGACCCCATTTGGGGTCGAACGACCATTTCATGGGGGTCGCCAAACCATGCTGTCCACCATTTTGTTCCCTTTTCCCTAGCTGTCCTACTCCCTCTTATTGGTGGCCACACCCACTTGGGGATCACCACAACATGGGGAACTGTATTATGGGGTCACGGCATTAGAAAGGTTGAGAACCACTGCTTTATAGCATATTTTTTTCAATTCTTTCAAAATTAAAAAATAAGATGGGGGAAGAAACAGAAAGCCTGGTAAACTGCAAAAAAGCTCTCTATTGTCCATGGGGAACGTAGTGAATATTCCAGAGATAAACTGATATACTGCTATGTGGCACCCACTTACTTCCCTTGAAGTAAAATGACACTTCATTACAAGTTAATTAGGTATGGTATGACTGATCTGCAGTTATTGAATGAAATGCTTCAAAATCTGGATGCCAGATACTGAAATCTTTTAAAGATCTCTCTGGTGGCAAAATAGAGGCAAGATTGCAACACAATAGCTTGTGCGTTATAGACTCCAGACATTTCTTTATTATGTGATTGACTTGTAAACATTTTGTCATATTTCTTTAGGAACTAATTTAAAGCTGGTATTCTGTAGTTATGTTTCCCCTTAAGTTCTGTAGCAGCATACCCTCTGCCTCTTGGGGTTAGCTGGTAATGTCCAAAGTAGAGCAATGTATCATCATTGAGAGTTGAGAGTGATGTGTGTCACAAAGAACAAAGTAGGACAGCTTGTTGTATAGAGAAAAATCCCCCAAACTCTGATACAGTATTATACTCTTGGCAATCACTAACTCTCTGGGAAGCAGAATGTTCACTATGTTGACATCCTACTTTCTTGTCAAGCACACTGCATTCCCTGTCAAGCTGTACCAACACATATCTGAATTGATTCTTTCTAGACACTATGGTTCTTCTGACATTGATAGCCAGCATGCAAGGTTTTGCCCTTCTTAATTCTGTACTTGAATATAGTTGTGATTATATTAATTAACTGGTAGTGAATCTGTTAATGTTTGTTCTAATTCTGAACTAGGTGGTTTCATTATAATGATGGCATCTCATTAACATGACCCAGCTGAGATTTATCAAATGTAGAATCCACACATATAGGGAAGTAGGTGTACATGTAATTGCAACATGCACCCATGCCAAAGTGCCAGAATTTATGCAAAATGTTGCAGTTACGTATACCCCTACGTCCCTGGAACACTCATGAGATTTTTTTGTATGGATCTTCCAGAAGATCAGTGCTCTTTTATAAACCATGTGTGTGCATATGTACCTATCAATCATAAATAAAGTCTGCTGACAGACTTAAGAAGGGGGGCATAATTAAGTGGGAGGAAAGTCTGTTGATGTGCTTGAGAACTAAATCCTGACTTACAGGATGGAAGGATGGATTTATTCATTCATTATTTAGATAAATTGATTTTAATGTGAGTGAATTGGATCCATATTTGTGTCTCAAAAATAAAAAGCATCTGGCTGCACAGTTAAGTGTAAAAGGGGCATTGGGTGAATATATTTGAAAGCTTGTACATTCCAAAAACCAGTTTGCCAGCTGGCATATTTTTCATTGACAGTGGAGATGAGTGGTAGATGTGGTTTTACTTGGGAAATTTGAAAACTAATCTTTTCCAGTCACACTCGAGGGATACTTCTGGAGTTCGCGAAGGGTGTCCTATTAGACTTCATGGAGAATAATTGATTGCTTTTTTTTATTATTCTGCTGGCATATGATACAAGCTCTGCCCTGAAACTGTTCTGCATCAAATCTTAAGGATAGTACCAGAGCTATGCAATTTAGGCTGGCATACTTTTCTGACAGCTGACAAATAGGAGACATGCATGTTAACATAGTTATGAGGATTGTGTGGTATTGTTCCCCGACAAACCTGGCCAGATGTATTAGTTTAGTTCTTCAATCTTGGAATCTACTCTGAGGGAACTTTGAAATTGAAGGTAAAAAAGCAATCAGTGAATACTGGAACCCAAGCAAAGCTAAAAAAAAAAAAATCTGTATCACTCAGGTGAGACTTAATTGGTTCAGGAAACTATTCTAGAATAGGACCTATCCTAGATAGTTTCATCATAGCAATCACAATAACATTTAGACTTATATACCGCTTCACAGTGCTTTACATTCCTCTCTAAGAGTTTGCAGAGTCAGCCTATTGCCCCCAATAATCTGGGTTCTCATTTTACCGACCTTAGAAAGGGATGGAAGGCTGAGTCAACTTTGAGCTGGTGAGGATCGAAGTCCTGGTAGTCAGCAAAATCAGCCTGCAGTACTGCATTCTAACCACTGCACCATGACAAATCATCATGATCATCATGGTCATCATCATGGTCATCATCATCATTTCTGAATTATAAACCACCATGGATCCTTTGGAAATAGGATTCATTGTATAGATGACTGAATGCACACACTACTTTGGTACCTGAAGTGAATCCAACACCTGAGGGTTGCTATTTGTTTGCTCTGTGTCAGCTCCTGATAGTTGCTGATGTGAAATATGAAGAGGACACTTGAATCAGTCCCTGCCACAACATGCCCATTGAATCCTAATTCTTCATGGTTAATGATAGCTTAAATGAGTGGTGTTGGAGTGATTTTTAATTTTTGATATGTTAAGACTAAAAAGAACGTGCATTCTTTGTTAATATTTTTGTTTGTTGAAAGTGATTGAAAATTTTGCCTTCATTTCTCAGTGGTTTGTCACGAATTTAGCAGTGAAATTTTGTAGAAGAGGGTTCAGGGATTGGTTCCTGTTTGTCCTGAATTTCTTTCTTCTGACTTTAGCATCTTCTGGGTATTTGAATGCTGTTTCTACTGTTCCTATCTTTTAACATGTATATAAATTTGAAAAGGTCAGTTGCATATCCAGCATCTGAGTGAGGATCAGTGACAAATCTCTGTAGAACTTTACAAGATAGTTTCAGTGGTGGAGGAGGCTACCTTTTTAAAACTTTCCCCAAGGTGCCATTTGTAAGTGGAGCATGCCTTTAGTTTAGACTATCAAGGTTATGGGTTATGAAGAATTTTGCATGACAGTTACAAACTAAAGGAGTGCTGCTGTCATTACTGGTCTGTAGTTCTGGTTCTTTTACTGCTCCAGGAACATTTAGTGCTTGCATGCTTGAAAGGATTTCAGAGCTGTCATTGTGATGAAATTTCTGATCTGCTGATTGATGACATTGTCTACTTGCTAGTTATAATAGCAACAGTCCTCTCTGTAATTGGATCAGCATTGATCTAGCTCTGGCTATATCTAATGCCATAAATATGGAACATTTCTGCATACAGCTCCATAAACACAGTACTTTATGAACATTTCATTCCTAGCCAAGGGAGGAATGAGGCATTTTATCTCCTGCAGTCTAACCTTGTGCTACAATTACTATAAATTGCACTGGTTACTACAGATGACAGTTTTATTATAATTATTTTTAATATAATAATTAAGAGTCAGTATAGCAATGTAGATAGTTAGGGATCCTAGGATCGTCTTTTTACTTTATTATGATGCATACTGAATAATTTTGATATTGGCTTTATTACCATATTTTTGTGTACCATAGATTTATATAGGAAGCACATTGGTTACCACATTGAGTTTAAGTCACTATTAAGTAAGACTTCTGTAAATCAATTAATAAGGGGGAAAAGCCAAAGAGTATGTGTGCTTAAGTATTAAAGTCTCTTTCAAGACAAGATTGTTTTCCGATGATTTTGTAGACACAACCTTTGCAATATTTTTGGCAATACTACAGAAGTGGTTTTTGGCTGCCTTCTTAGAGATTATTTCTTTGACTTTGCAAACAAGCTGACAGCGCCAATATTTCTTAGTGATTTCTCATCCAAGTTTTAATCAGATCTTCTTGTATATGTAACCTACAACTCCTCCTCCTCCCCCCTCTCCTGCTTAGTTACAGGGTGTACTTATTTGTACTGTGCTTGCCTGGTCCACAATGTGAAGCTTTCAATGTATGCTCCTGAGATTAGGACTGAGAAGTGGCTGGTCCAAGATCACCCAAAAGGCTTCAGTTTGATGTAATAGTTAAGGCATTGGCTATAGAGTATACTGGGAGACCATGTTTTTCTAGACCTGCCTTATACACAAAGCCAGTTCGATGATCTTAGGCCAGTAACTCTCCACCTTAAGCAATGGCAAATCACTTTTGAGAAATCTTGCCAAGAAAACTTCCAAGACTTATCCAAGATAGTCACTAGGAATTAACATTGACTTCAAGGCACACATACAAAATAATAGATATTAAGTCAGAGTCACTGAATTATGTTTTCAAAAGTACTTGAGCCTGGGTTAGAATGATTATATTTTGATTTCATTACAACTATTTCTGATTGGAATCAATGTTATTATATTTCATTGGTGTAGCTTAAAAGAAATATTTGTAATTGCTATGGCAAGTCAGAGAGAAGATTTTGCTAAATAATCCTGGTTGGTATTTGTGTTGAAATTGGCTCTTTATGTTGCTTTGCATGTTTATAGTTTATGTTGCTTTGTATGCTTATGGTAACCAAAACTTTTGCCTTTTACCAATGCACATCTCACTTATTTTTGTTGTGTTCTTCCTCTCTCTCTTTTTTGTAGCAAATAACTGATGAGGGTAAAAGACCCATCAAAGATTATCCATGATAAAAATAAGAGACAAAAAAAGGCAAATCAGCATCAGGATGAAGATTCTTCAGATGATATTACAGGTGAAAAATTACTACTATTACTATAACAATGAGGATACTATAAAAAAATTAAAAACCCAAGAAAAATTACACTTTGAGAGAAAGGCAGCATAAAATGTATTAGCCTATACAAGAGTTACACTTCAAACTGGAGAAGAAGGTGAGAAGTAAGTAGGAAGGTTGAGGTGAAGGAGGAGAGGGGGTGAGTGAAGAAAAAGAGGGAAAGATGTACCGGTAAGTTGGTTTGAGGTGGGATGCGGTTTGGGGGGAAATGGGTGGGCAAGACCGAATGTGGTGTGTATCAATTTGTTTTATTTTTTTATCTGAAGTATTTGTAAGATTATGTATTGTAAAGTTGAAAATAAAAATTTTTATAAAAAGAGTTACACTTCAAACTATATTAATTATTACTGATGATGCTTTATGTGGGATAGATGTTGAATTCTGTGAGGAATCTTAAATCTTAAGATCTTAAATCTTAAACCATAACAATGTAGTTTTTTATGTTGTAATGATAAAAATATATTCTTATTAAATGTTTCCTCCATACGTCCTCATATACGTCTTAATCATTTGACTCTTTTTAAAAAAATGTTCAATGTAGGATTAACATGCCAGCATGTGGGTCAGGCAGTTGACGTCCATCATGTGAAGCGAGCAGTGGCTCAAAATGTTTGGTCAATATGCTCAGAGTGCTTAAAGGAAAGGAGAATATACAATGGTGAACCAGTAATGCCTTCTGATATATGGCTTTGTCTCCGATGTGGCTTTCAGGTAATTAAAATTATAAAGTAATAATTTATACCTCATTCCTATGGAATAAATGTAGCATTTGAGGATTATGAACTTCACAAAAGTGTGTTAAAGAGAGACAGAAAAGAGATTTTAAAACACTCATGCATACTGTGGAAAAATGTATAGAAAGTTTTCATTCTTTCACATTATTAGAATTGGAGATCAGCTGTGGAATGGATTCCTAATGACAAGGAGTTTCTGAACCAGTAAAAAAGACACATTTTTAAAAATATACAATGCATTGTTAAACAATGGAATTAACTGCCCCCAGATATGGCAGATGTACTCCCTGTTGAAGAAGAGAACAGAATTCTTTGTGGGAATTTTAACATACTTTATAGGTACATTTTTGATCAGGATTTTAATTGTTGATACTTTCATGAAGTATTTATTATTTTAATTTTTAGTATCAATTCTGATTTTATGTTGACTTTATTTTATGATAATTGTCCATAAAATAAATATGTCATTGTACCTCATAGTGACTGTGGTTCACTCATGTGGGTCTTAAAGGGGACTAGACAGAATCTTGACAGATTATTCTGATAGTCATGCATTTCCTCCAGAATCAAAGGCAAAATATTTAAATATCAATAGTAAGGGAGCAGAAACAGGGATATTATTCTTCAGTTCATGCTTCTGAGCTCCATAAAAGTATCTGGTTGTCTGTGGCATGATACCGAATGCTAGATTAGATAGGCCTTTGGCCTGCAGTCCTTATCTGATATGAATCACTCTTTGAGAGAGATGTGCAGTCTCTTAAATTTGATAAATAAATGTTTGTTATCTAGGTCACAGAACATCGCAAGAAAAATTATTTCTCTATGATACTGGTTATTTGTTGTGGAAATGGCTGAGTATGAAGGAGACAATATAATGTTTTCCACAATTTGCACATTCAGACAAGCTATGCTTGTTGAAATATGTTAATGTCCTGTTTTAATAATAATAATAATAAACTGATGGGTCTGTAGGTTGATGTAGAGCAGCGGTTCTCAACCTGTGGGTCGCGACCCCATTTGGGGTCGAACGACCATTTCATGGGGGTCGTCAAACAACGCGATCCGTCATTTTTTTTCCTCAGCCGGTGCAGGGGGTAGCGGCGCGCATGCGTGCTGCGCAGAGGGCGCCGCAGGGGGCGCCGCCGCGCATGCACGCCGTGCGGGGGCGCCGCCGTGCATGCGTGCCGCGCATGGGTGCATGGGGGCACCGCCGTGCATGCACGCTGCACAGGGGCGGCGCACATGGAGCGCCACCATGCATGAGGTGGCGCATGGAGCGGCGTCGTGTGTGAGGCAGCGCAGGGGCAGCGCATGGGTGCCACCACGCATGTGCGCCATGCAGGGGCGCCGCCGCGCATGCGTGTCGTGCAGGGGGCCTTATGACCGGGGTCGCCGGTATAAAAAGATTGAGAACCACTGATGTAGAGTATCCAAAGATGCTTTTTCACAAGGCAACTGGACTTCCTTGTTTTTTCTTTGAAGATGTTTCGCTTCTCATCCAAGAAGCTTCTTTAGCTCTGACTGGATGGTGGGGAATGGAAGGATTTATACTCCTTGCAGACAGCTGGTCATTTGCATTCTTTTAGAGCAGGGGTTTTCAAACTTGGCCCTTTTATGACTTGTGGACTTCAACTCCCAGAATTCCTCAGCCAGCGTGCCTGGCTGAGGAATTCTGGGAATTGAAGTCCACAAGTCATAAAAGGGCCAAGTTTGAAGACACCTGTTTTAGAGAGTCTGTAGAGTAAAACATACTTGCTGCTTTCATTATAGAATATAATTATATCTTAAGATTTTATCAATGATCTTTAGGGCTGTGGTCAAAATTCAGAAGATCAGCATTCTCTAAAGCATTTCCAGACTGCACAGGCGGATTCTCATTGTATTGTAATCAATCTTAGCACATGGATCATATGGTAAGCTAATTCACATTTTGAGAGAGAAAGTTTTGTACATGTAAAAGTAAATATATACAGTTGTACATTTAAGTGTATATAGGTGAACGTGTACATGAAATGAAATAACATTATTTTAGTTGTTAAGTAGCCTTAAGTATGTATACCTCATAGTTTCTGCAAGTTGTTATTACAAGAATTTTAGTTATGAATAATTAAAGATACAAATTGGCACCCTTTGGTAATTCTGTTTGAAAATGTGCTAGAATTTATATTGTTTTATTTAGTCATTCTCGAGTTGGTTAGACCAAATTCTTGTTTCTTATTCATGTTTTTTTCAGTAAGTCAGACTAATTTATATACTACTAAAACACTCATGCCTGTAACCTTTAACTGGTGAAACAGTGCATCATAGGACAATAGTTTTTTGAACCAAAATACATCAAATAGCTAACTTATAGAATGCATTCAAAATCTGGGACCCTTGACTCCTATGGGATTGAACTTTGGCAAATTTGTGGTCACTTCAGTGTTAAAGTGCTACTGCACCACTGCCCAGAGGTTTAGTAGATCAATCCTGCCATGGTCTTCTGGAGACTGGGTAGGCTGGTTATACCAGGGGTTCCCAACCCCCAGTCCGTGGACCAGCACCGGTCCACGCAAACAAGCAAAGCCCCATCCGTGGGATGCAGGCAGTATGTGAAACCACGCCTCTTCCGGTCCGCAGAAAAACCTCTCTCCATGGAACCGGTCCCTGGTGCTCAAAAGATTGGGGACCTCTGGATTATACCATTGGCTGCCAGAGAGCAGTCAGCCATGGTCAGACTGACAGGAAATAGGAAGTTGTTTCTGTTCCCACTACCTTTTTTTTTTTTTTGATCTTGGTCATTCTGTTTCTCTGTTTACATAAAGAAATATCTTTTGAAATAAAGTACACAACAGGTCATGGGGTTGTCTTATAACTTGTTAAAATGTATTTAGTTATTTCAATAGTAGTAAGTAGTTTTTGAAATCTGTTCTATTACCTTTAATAGTAACAGCCATTCCATTTATTATTATTATATTATTACATACTTTTTTTTGATGTACTCCCCCATGACCATCACTGTTTTCCTGATTTGTATTATGGCAGTGGTTCTCAACCTTTCTAATGCCGTGACCCCATAATACAGTTCCCCATGTTGTGGTGACCCCTAAGTGGGTGTGGCCACCAATAAGAGGGAGTAGGACAGCTAGGGAAAAGGGAAAAAAATGGCGGACAGCGTGGTTTGGCGACCCCCGTGAAATGGTCATTCGACCCCAAATGGGGTCCCGACCCACAGGTTGAGAACCACTGTATTATGGGATCATTGCAGCATGCAAAAGCCAGTTACATGTTGTAGCAGTAGAGAGTGAAGTGGGGAAGAAGTGAATTCCTTCCATTGTCTCTCTGGTCACATATAATTTCTTCTGAACTAGTCAGTATATTCTTATCAGTGAATGGCATAAGCAATGCATTTGAGATGAGACCGCTGCTTTTTTTTAATCTTTAAGGAAAGTGAGCAAAATGGGAACTCTAGTTCTACGTTTCAGATTCCTCTAAGACAACATCTGAATTATATTACGGGAATTGTGACCTATCCAGTGCTCATCATGAGCACTCTAGATTTTAGAACAGGGGTTCTCAACCTTGGCAACTTTAAGACTGGTGGACTTCAATTCCCAGAATTCCTCAGCCAGCATATGGCTAGTGTCATACAAATGTACTTGAGAGTTATTGTTATTGCATTTAAATGCTTTATTTCAGGTGTTATGAATGTGATGAGGAGCTATCAACACATTGTAACAAAAAGGCTTTGACACAAATTGTTGACTTCCTCCAAAGGCATGTTACGAGAAATGAATCAAGTAAGTTACCTTGAGACTTTTTATGTTAGTTTGATGTTATGTATCTTTTTTTTCCAATTTTTATTATTTTATTTTCATTACAATCATAAGAAAAAAAATTCAGATACATAAGAAGTTAAAATACAACACACAAATTCCGACATTGCTCACCCATTTCCCCCCAGACCGCATCCCCCTCTCATCTCTTCACTTCCCCCTTCCTTCTATCTCCTCCTCTCCTCTCCTCTCCCTCTCCTCCATTTTTCTACTTACTTGTCCCTCTCCTCTTCTTCTCAATCGGATGCGGTCTGCGGGAAAATGCCCGAGCAATCCTCTATCACCAAAATCTGAACTATTGAACATACTACCCATACGCTCCCCTCCCCCCTCCCCCCACCCCCTTTCCCCCCCCGACTTCCCAGAGCTCAGTACGGGGTTACAAAAAAAAGAAGAAGAAAAGAAAAAAAAAGAAAACTAAACATAGTCAACTTAAATTTACTACTTATACAATAACCGGAATCCTAATAACCCTTAACTCTCTGCAAACTTGAATTCATAATTTAATAAAAATCCATTATTCATAAAATAAATGAAACTTTGTTGTTCCATACTTCTTCTGAATATATTCTATTCATCTTCTCCATACAGAAACATATCTCTTTTGTGAATGATCCTTTAAGTAAGCAGAAATTTTAGCCATTTCTGCTAAGTTAGAAACCTTGAACATCCATTCTTCCAAAGAAGGCAGAGAATCTTTTTTCCAATACTGACCCACCAATAGTCTTGCTGCTGTTATTAAATTCAGCATTAAAATAGTTTCTTTAACATCAAAATCCACAAAAATACCAAAAGAAATAATTGGGGAGTAAATTTAATTTTCCTTTTAAAAACCTTTTGAATGTTCCACCAAATTATAATCTTGTTAGTTACATCAGAAGGATGAAGTAGAATAAAAAAAACATTGTGTGATGTTATAGCACGATAAACAAAGTTCAAATAAGTGACTGAATTATCTTTTGGCTAATAAGCAAAGGTCTTCTTTCAAAAAAAAAAAGTTTGACCATTCACCTCTTGCTAATGATGCAGTGGTTAACTTCTAAAACAAAGGTTCTAGTCTTCAGTGTTTTAGTAGCAACTTGAAATTATGGGCTTTAAGAAAATCATGATCAGATCCCATATAAATATTCTATGTCTGATTCAATCCTCAGTTCATGTTTTGTCCTATTTATGTTGTAAGTAAGAATATATATTCCTATTCTCTGTTTCATTTGTTTATTGAAGTTGATATTCTGTCTGATTAGCAAAAAAATTTCACTGGTTTAAAATAGACTAAAATAATTTTAAAATAAGAGATTAAATACAATTAAAATAGGATTAAAAATAAGTAAAACAAGTAGAATTAATATTTAAAATTAATACTTGAAATCAGTAATTAAATGTTCTAAAAATATGGTGTAAGGGTCTTGCCTAATAAAATGTTTATTCCAAAGAGCTAGAAAGGCAACAGAAAAAATTTGATCCTGAATTGCTGCCAAAGAAACTTTCAGACAAGTGTAGGCAAACTCCTTGGATGTATTCAGTAAGCATGGAAGTTCATATAACATTCTTTCAAATTAAGCTGAGTAAGGCTTTAAATATAACAACACCGCTTAATATTTGTTTGTACTGAAATTAATTGGCAGATTTTATCCAAGATGGGATTAGTATTTATGTATTGAATTTGGGTGGGATTTATACTTCCCCTCCTTCTTACTATTGAGGTGAAAAACTTGAGAAATAACTGGATTGGGCATTTGGAATTCCAAACCATTAGACTAGGGCAAAGATAGACAATAGAATTCTGGGTGAGACTGGCAGACTGCGTTGTTTGGCGACCCCTGTGAAATGGTCATTCGACCCCAAATGGGGTCCCGACCTACAGGTTGAGAACCACTGCTCCAGACCATCTGGGAAATAATATCTATCTTAATATGTTATTTTTGTATGTAAGGTTTCATGTACTCTATACTGAGGAATCAAGGATTGTACTTTGACAAAATACTCTAGGGTTGGATAAGTGACAATATTAATATAATAGAAAATCCATTTGGCAATTGGTTAGACATTTCTTCATAAAATATTGAATTCAGTAAAAAATACCTAAGAGTAGATGAATGGATGCTGGTTTCTTATTTGGGTTGATTAGATGGAACCTGGTTTGTGGGGTGTTTAAACTGTTTAAACCCAGATACTGATAAGAAATCCTGCTAGACTGGAAAACTAACAAGCACAAACAAGCACAATCTTATACTTGTCTCATCAGAAAGAAATTCCAACCACTTTACTTTTTAATGAATATCCATAAGATTGTAGCTCTTCCAAGGAATTTTCTACATGTCTGCTTGAAGTAAATCACATTGAATCAAACAGAAGTGACTTTAATAGGCTTCATGTTTTTTGATCAGTTATATGCATATTACATAATGATGCTGAAATAAATTAGTGTATAAATGATCGCTTTGTAATAGGAATACCTCTTTTCTTTGTCTTAAGTCTCTTTAAATACACAATGGCAAAAAGACAGGATATAAATATATTTCATACATACATACCATTCATAACAATTTATTCTACTTTATGTATTGTCTTGGAGATATTTACTCTCATGAGTGAGTGCAGAAAATGAATTTTCCCTATCTGTGCATGTTATAAGAAGTTTTTATGCTTTTTAAAAAATGATAGTTTTAAAAGTGCCCAGATGATCTTTTTTAAAAATAATACTAAAATGCAATTGATTGTCTCTCTATTTGCCTTTTTTTGTTAAATATACATTTAAATGGAACCTTTCTTTTTTCTGTTGAAATGATTTGTTACATTGATTTTTTTTAAAAAAGCTTCTTTGTTGCATATAATAAAGAAGTTAAATATAGTATTATTGAGCATAATCCAAAGAGAGAACAGAAAGAGCACTGAGCATGACCAGTAATTCAAACAGTACTTTTATGGCAATTTTTAATTGCAAATGATTTGTTCTTTTCTTTTATATCCAGTGGAACATGCAAACTGCCAGTAGCTGTTTTCCTTTAACTGAATAAGATATTTTAGGGCACCATGTACAGGCAGTTCCTTAAAATAAGTGAAGAAACAATCAATGCTTGTTTTATAACAATATGTATTTGAGACAAAATAAATAATCAGAGCTTAGCTTGCTTGTCCAGCTTCAGACTAATCAACTTGAAGAAAAGACACCCGGATTATGGAAAAAGCAACAGAGATTTTCTGAGAAATATATTTTGAGAAGCAAAATATTTGCAGTTGCCAAGAGCATGCATGGGACCCAGATCTCTGCTTTTTTTCCCACTCACACTCAGCTTGCTTGCAAAAATGGGCAACTGACATTATTACTCTATGACTGACCAGGAAATTAAATTAAGTCATTGAGATAAGCTCAAGTGTGGAGTTCTCCCCCGCAAAATGCTGGCAGTATGTGGACTTCCCATCAGATCTTATGATTTATCCTGCCCAGAAAGTCTGCATTGTCTTTTTTTTCTCTTCTCCCTTTTCTTTCTATCTTTTTTTTCTGAAAGTCATCTGTTTGGTCAATAAGTCAGGTTTGCCACAGAGTAACCACCCAACAGAGACTACTTTTTTGCAAAAAAAAAGGGAGCTGGCCCATTATACAGCATTTGCCAGGAAAGCAGGTGCAATATTGTCATGATGGCGCACTTGTGAGTTTCACATGAACCTAGTGCACATGTAGTACACAGGAACCATGCTGAGCTGTTACAGTTTTGATTGTCTGTTGCCTGGGAAACAAGATTAGAAATGAAGGTTTGTTTGATCCCTTGAAACAAACAGTCTCTCCCCCCCCTCCATTCTTGCCCCCAGTGCATTTTTCAGTTAATGGGAATAGGGAAAAAAAGTTAATTACCATTCAAAAATAATTTCTAGTTGCCTTGAGTTTTACAGAATCCTGTATTCTAATTTTCAATACCAATGGATTGCTATCACAGCTGTATTTTATTTTATTATTTTATTTAATTTTATTTCTAATTCAATAAGTGCCTTTTTGCAGGGCTCTATGTTTGTTTTCTTTTAAAAAAAAATAAGGAAAAAAGATGTAGCACTATATCTCTGATACCCATAACTACTAAGGCCTTTGTAGGAATACCAATTAAATCTGTGAATTAAAAGAAATTAAAAGAAAAATATTTTGAAATTTTGGAATATTTTGTAAAATGTTTTTTATCACGCTCTGAAGAACTATATAATTGCTTTGCCTAATTTTTAAAAATTATAAATTAAAATATTTTACAAAACTTCACAAAATTTTACAAAATATTTTACAAAATTAAAAAGCAAATTCCACCAATTATTATAATTTGTTAGGAATTATGGAACAAATTTGGCAGGGGATGTGTTTTCTGTGGTAATTAAATGTTAAAAAGAAGACAATGTCATCTCATCTGTTACTTTTTTCTTATGATGAGATTAAAATTAAAGATTAATAATTCCAGTAAAAGTTCTCAAACTTGAAATACCCTCAAGTGTAATAGGCCCCCCAGAAGATTTTACAATAGTTTTAGAATGGGATTAAAGTATACCAGTTTAAAAAATACTGAGGTTTGTTTGCTTTTTGCGCTTTACAGGGAGGTAGTTTCAGGGGTCATTATATTTTATTTTTTCCCCTGGATGATTCAGGTTGGAGATTCAGTAGACAGAACCTTGTTACTTGTGTGAAGCTGTCATTTAACCATGAAATGAAATGCTTTTATTAAGTTTGCCCTGCAGATATGGTCCGCTGTGGCAGGGCTGCCCATATTTGGTGGCTGTGCAAGGAGAGCCAGGTGGTGCTGCAAAGCATCGCACAGTCAAGCGTGGACAGATCTAGATCTGACATTTGTCATCCTGCAGTGCTGAAGGGGAGTTAAAATCTGTTTTTCCATATGCTTCTGTTTTAATTTTTGCCTGCAGTTTGGTCCAGATGGCATACTGAGCATTGTTTACTTTAAGATGTTTTCCCAGATGTTACTGAATGCCGATGGATAAATGCAACAACTGTGGTATACCAATATACAAATTGAGTATACAGTTAGGCTTTTGTCAAAAATCCAAATATATTATATATATTTTAAATGAAAATATCAGTTTCTTGGGGTTTTTTTTAAGATGTGAGTCATGTTGAAATAATATATGGATGTCAGACTTGGTCCAGCAAAACAAAAGTTTAAATTAGCCACAAAAGTCTTAAGTCTTATACTACCTTTTATATTACCTGTATCGTGTGAGATTGTTAAAGACTATAAAATGAATGAGAATAGGAAAGAAATGCAAAGCAAGGGTGCTTGCTTGAGTTTTTAATAAAGGTGAAAGAGAACTATAATTAATTTTCAAAGCATCAATTCTATCTTTCTTGCTTTGAGAATTCTAAAATATTAAATCCAAAATTATGCAAGTGGATTTAAAGTTGTACGATGGGAATTACCTTTCAAAGCGTCCTTTTTGTATGATTCCAAATATGCTCTTTTTAATCTCTCATCGTACAGAAGCAAATTTGTAGGAAGAATCTAGGAACTTTCAGGGGCATGCATATTTTAGTTTTTCCCCTTGAGACATGTTGCAGACTTACATTCTGAGCAGGATGTAGGGTAGGCACGGTGAGAAATACATACTTTAGGTTGTTGATCTTCTTGCTGACTGTTCTTTAGGGTGTGGTCCACAAGGAATGCACTCCTACTGTATAAAGATAATTTTGGCATAGGGAGAGAATGTAGCCACTGCCTTTGACAGTATTTGCCTATGAGTAGCAGGCACAATGGCCTAGAGGTGAAGATGCACATCTCACAGTTGGGAAGTTGAGAGTTCACTCCTAGGCAGCGACAGATGTTTCTCTATCAGGGCGCAAAGAAAAAAAAATCTGCTGCTTACTCCACATAGGTGTCAGTTATGGCATCCCGCATCCATTAAGCCCTTTACTAGTTGCTATCGGCATGAATTGTTGGACAGTACTTGAAATATTATATATGTCAGTAATTTTCATATTTAGTTCAGGACCCATGACAATATGAAAGTTGCAAGTTGAAACTAGGCTGAATAACATATTTCAAGAGTTCTCATTACCTCTGTGTTACTCATTAAGACCATTCTTATTTCATTGCAGATAGCAAGCATCTAGATTAAGGATTCACAGAATTATGTCATGGGAACAATATGGTATCTAGCCAATTACTTAAAGTAATTCATTGTTGTTCACTTAGACAAAATGTGAAGCTGCAGTGTTATTTATTTACTTACCTTGGAGTAAGTTTGACTTAACGATTTCAACTAGGTGCTTAAGCTTCTACTTCATAATTCTCATTTCCAGTTAATGCTGAAATGCTGTTTTTCATAAAATAATTGTTTAGAACCTGGAATATACTTCAGAATGGTACAAATTTCATGCAAAGCTACGTGGGTTACTATATGTATCTCCTGTTATATTGTGTAACAGATCAATAGCAGGAAGATGAATCTTTTGGATATGTTAAGAAATATTTAAAAGTTGGATCCCAGCTAATTACTTGAATGTAATTAGCTGGGATCCATTGAAAGCAATAGTGTTTCAGGTATTTATTAACTCTTCCCATTCATTCCAATGGGAATTGAGAACAATTACCTTGGTCTGAAACCAATCCAGAGTATTCAGAATATCTTGGAAAGTAAAACTATTTTCTGAAGACTGTATTAATTTCTTAAACTAATCAATAAAGCCCTTGTAGAATTAAAGAAATTGCCAACTGGATTTGGGATTTTTAGTCTTTTTTTTAAAAAAATACGAAAATTGTGCAAAATTAAATGAACTTGCCAGGTAATAGTTTTTGATTAGAAGTTATATTTGGAGGCAAGGTGTTAGATACTAATTGTTTCAATGTGCCTTAGAAACTGGAGCCTTATACAAAGAACATTACTCAATTAAAAAGTACAAAATTATTCTGTACCTCATTGTGTGGCAGATTTTTCCATTTTCAAGAGCTGCAGACTCAAAACCTGCTTATACTGAGGAATTCTGAAATCTAGGATAGCACAAAGAATTGGAAAATATATGGTTCCAATTAACTTCGCATACTCCAGCACTTTATATATCTTAAAATCTGAAACCAGAGGGCCAAAGACTATTCAAGATACTAGTATTAACCCACACATGTCAAACTCGCGACGTCACATGATGTCGCGCAATGTATTGGGACAGTTTTGCCATTGCCGGCAATGGGGTGGGCGTGGCTTCCACGTGATGCATCTGGCCCGTGTATTAGCCCAAAAAATCTTGTTTTCTTGTTGATGCATCCCATTTTACAACTATTTATGAATGTGGATCTTAGCTTTGCTGTTGAAGAAAAACTGTATGCCATTCTCTTGATGTTTGAGTTGATTTGATTATGCATATCATTTCTATATTACAGGTGAGCATAAACATGATCTATACAGCATAGGTAGCAACTGCAGTGTCTTCCAAACTTAGGAAGAGTTGCCATTCAGAGCCTGAGAACTGATTGACTGTTTGCAAACTCATTGAATGAATTTCTTAAGAATGTAGTAGTATTCGACTTCCAGTTCAGGATCATGGCGTTTGCAGCCGTGCGAACAGACTGCTCTCTTTGCCCACTGATTCCCCTCTGCCGGTAGACCCTTAATCGGGTCGAAAAGCCGCTCCCTGGAGGGGCGGCTACTGTTGAGGAGGTCCTTGTCGACCATGGGAGAGCAGCAGCTTCTTCCGCAGTCCGAGATTGCTCCTTAGGCCGATGGAGGAAAGATCGGCCAGTAAAATGGCCAGTCACTTTGCTGCTATAACCAGAAGTCAGAAGAACATCTAAACGCAAAGAACCACCGTGGTTGATCCGGGTGAGATTTTTCCTTTCCTCTCTTAGTCCTTTTTTTCTTTTTGGTTTCCTGTAAAAAGCATTTTTTGGGGAACTATTTCCCTGTTTTAAGAGAGCGGCGAGTGCTAGTGTGGGAAGGAAAGCTGTGAAATGGAATGAAAATTGAACCTAATTGACTATCTTTGACTTTCATCTACTTTGGGGTCTTGAAAAGATTCTTACTATTGAACTTTATTACTGGACTCAGCATATATGTGAAAAATACTACTTTCTTTTTGTTTTTCTTTTTTTTTTCTGACTTTGACAACGTTATCTTTGGCCACTGAGGACACCTTGTGGAGAATTTTAAAACTGTAACTGTCTTCATTTTCTGTCTGGTGATGAATTTGGCTTTGACCTTCAGATTATCATAAAGGAAAAGACAAAGAAACAACAGCTGTTTTGTGCGGGTGGGCACTGGGTAAATGTTTTTGAATATAGCCTCCACTAAAAGATAATAGGTCTGGTCCTAGTTACCATTAAAATGGAGAAATTTTATTTACATTTCAACTGTAAACTTATACTGGAGAAAATTTATGAAGCTACTGAGCAAATAGGTTGTCAAATAAGAGAGAGTACTACAGAAATAATAAACAGAAATTCTATTTTGAACCTACAAACTGATTTTCAGATCTTATCTGAATATTCTACAGACCAAAAAACAATAGAAGAGGAATCAATCATCATTAAAGAGGATTCTATTTCATCTTATATACAATCTTTTGAGATTTTTGATGATCAAAAAATGATTGTAATTAAACCATCTATACCTTCAAAATTAACAGAAATGGATTTGCAATTACAATTGATTAAGAACTATGACAATGTTGTTAACCAACTACTAACTACAAAACTGGTCAGGAGTGAGTCTCCTATTCAGCAGAGTCAAATGTCAAGGCTTGAATCTTTAAAACAAAAAGGGATTACCTACAAAGGATTCAGGTCTCTAAAACAGAAGAGGGGATGCTCTTCTCTGATTCAAATGCTACCACAAGGAATAAAAAGAGACTTATTCGTTGACATAGAGGCTTTGTTATGGAAACCGGCTTGGCATAAAAAGAAAGCTAGAATAAGATTTAAGAGTGTGAGGCTTTTTAGACACTGATTGACTTAAACTTTAAGATTGGCAAATAAGACACCAGAGATTATGATTGAAGAAAGACTAATTAAATGAGAAGTTAACGAAAAGATGTGTGCATAGGGGATATAATAATAATTTGGATTGGATTTAAATGTTATTGAATGGGTTAAAAAGTATTATATAGATTTTGATTGATTGCTAAATTATAGATTTAAAATAGATTAGAAATGTATTGTTTGGAACAATATTTTTGTTTTCTAGGAAGGAAAGCTATTTTGTAAAGCAAGAGGAATAAGAGGGATTTTTGATAAAAGAAGAAATGATATTAATAAATGAGTTATTGATTAGGTTAAGGAAAAGGGAAAGGAAAGACGCCTGAAGTGTTAATAATATGGTTATCTAAGCCAAATGGAAATATGATAACTGTAAATAGTAAAGCTCAATACAGGATTTTGATTTATATAAATGAAATGTTATTGATGATTGTTTGGACTGATTGAATTATATTGAAAAACATATCAATTTGAATACAATATATTATTTGAGGGAACAGATAGGGAGTCTTTAATGATTTAATTTGAATTACGTATGTATGATTTTGTTTTGGCATAATTGATTACCCTGTCACCACGTTGTTTCTCAAGCATTTGGTTGTAAAAAGAAAAACTAATAAAACTTGTATTATAAAAAAAAAGAATGTAGTAGGATTCCAAACTGGACTATTATGTTGACTTCGATATTTTGTTTTTTTTTAAAGGTCAGCATGCAGTACCTTGTGTACAAGACCTGATTCTTATCTTTTCTCTTTAAAGGTTCATCATCAAAAATTATATGGCTGCATGAAGAAAGCAATGAAGCCAATGACATATTAAGAGGAAAAGGCCTCAGTTCCAGCTGTGGATCTGTTCCTGTTAAAGGCATTAATAACTTAGGGAACACGTGTTTCTTTAATGCTGTTATGCAGGTAAAACTAAAGAGGACTCTCCCTGCTCAGGAATCTATAACAATCACACAACAAAGAAGTAAGGGTGACTGTGGCAATAAGCCAGGCATGTCAAACTGCCGGCCTGTGGGCCGGATGCATCATACTAAAACCGTGCCTACCCCATTGCTGGCAATGGGGAAAAAGTCACGATACGTTACGTGACATCACGAGTTTGACATGCCTGCAATAAGCAGATCAAATAATGATATGTTATATGGGTAATTCATTCCCTTTTCAACACAAGTTGTGTAAAATTGTATAACCTGGATATCTAGTTTACATCCAATATTGCTCTCACATTTTCAAGAAATATCTAATATTTAAATGTCTTGTATTGATAGAAATGCCTAGCATATATGTATAAACTAATCCAAGAAGGAAATGTTCAAGCAGAAACCAGAGACTTTTAGTTACTTGTCATTTTCTTGGTCTTGAGAGTTCCTTTTAAAAGATATGTAGTATGAGATGCAGGCAGTTTACACATTGGTTGAAATATCAAAAGTCTTGCTCAATAGATACAAGTGCCATAATACAGTCAAGCAGCTGCCATGGGAGACCATTTACAGGTAGTCCTCGGGTTAAGACCACAATTGAGCCCAAAATTTTTGTTGCTATCGAGACATTTGTTAAGTGAATCTTGTCCCATTTTATGACTTTTCCTGCCATGGTTGTTAAGTAAATCACTGCAGTGGTTAAATTAGTGACAAGGTTATTAAGTGAATCTGGTTTCCCCATTGACTTTGTCTGTCAGGAGGTCACAAAAGGGGATCACATGACCCCGGGACACTGCAACTGTCATAAGTATGAGTCAGTTTCCAAGCATATGAATGTTGATCACATGACCTTAGGGATGCTGCAATGATCGTAAGTGTGAAATACAACCACAAAGTCTCATAAATAAATAAATAAACTCACTTTTTTCAGTGCCGTTGTAACTCTGAACGGTCACTAAATGAACTGTTGTAAGTCGAGGACTACCTGTATGCATTCTGCAGCTTGAAGCAACTCTATAAAAAAAAAATCACTGTATTAGTCCAGTTGCTCATTCTCTATACCTTTTTTTTCATTTTGTTTTAGAACTTGGCACAGACACACATGTTAAGTGAGTTAATGTGCGAAATGAAAGAAAAGGGGACAAAGCTAAAAATAGCTCAGAGCCCAGCGTCTCAACTGGTAAGCATTCTCCTGAACCTGAGCATTACATTAAGTGGACACTAAGAATCGTAACGAGGAGCGCTCTTAATGTGATAGTTTTTCTATTGCACAATGAGTCGCATCATTTTGTAGAGTCTGAATCAGCAGAATCAAGGCGTATTCTAGCTGGGGAAAGCTTGATTTTCCCATTTCCCCCTTTGGTTTGTGGGTTTGGGGGAACCATCTGGAAAGGTGTGGCACCAGAGGATTCAGGAGGAATGTGGATGACAAAAATGGTTTTCTTCCTTTCCTCCCTCCAAGCAGGAGCGTAGTGCATCACCATCTGTTCCACCGATAGATAGTCTTCTTTAAACAGAGGATGGCACAGAAGAGATCCTTATTCTGATTTACCTGGTTGCACTAAATCACTGCTCAAACCCTGGGGTTACTATTTGGACACTTTGCTAAATGAAGCAAAGTGTCTCTTTTTTTCTAATGAAGATGTCAACCTTTCAATTTCACTAATGCCATTAGTTTGTGAGTCCATATACTGTAGCTGGAGTGGATACCAGATGTTTTTAGAAAGACTTAAAAAATTAAACTGAAAAACCCTTATGGCTCTTGCATATGGCTAAATACTTATTTATTCATTTCATCTAGGAAAAAAAACTAGATATAATTAGGTAAAATATGCAAAAACATATTTCTTCGTTGGATTCATATTTTGCTTTTGATTTAGATTTGTATTTAGATTTGTATTTTGTCCTGAATATTATGAGTTACTCTGCATTGATAAATGGTGCTTCGCCCACATGTTCCCTCTACCAAAATTGTTGCCCATTACAACAACAACAACAACAACAACAAAATCAGCCCATTTTAAAGTAGAAATCATAGGTTTAATCAAAAGAAGTTCTGGAGAAGATACTTCTTCCATTTCAAGTTTGCGAAACCCTTTAGAATAGATCTGGAAAACATGCCGGAAGGGGCAGGCTGGGGGGAGAACTAGCAGGACTCCAACTATCTGAACAGAAGTCTTTCGTATAATATTGAATGAAATGTTAGTTTGAACGTACATGTTGGAAGTTATTGTGTATTAAAATATTTATTTTTAACCCAAAGGATCCATTGATAGTGAATCTTTCAAATCCTGGATCTCTGACTTCAGCCATGCTCCTGTTCCTTCATAGCATGAGAGATGCTGGGAAAGATCCTCTTTCTCCTAAAATTTTGTTCAACCAGCTCTGCCAGAAGTAAGGATAATCTTGTGTCAGTAATAGCTTTCATGTGGAAAATACGTACACATATAAATTTAAAGTGATTTATTTCACGTTGTCTTATCGTATTTCAGTCAACAGAAATGCATTGGGCTGTTTAAAATTAAAACCATAAGCATTTGCATTTTGGTATGACTATCCCTTCCTGGATATTAATAACGTACACAGTAAGTCTTCAAGAAAAAAGAAAGAAATTGATCATTTCTTTTTCCATAGCAACTGTTTAATGTTTGGTACTAATTCATCCACTGTTAATTTTGTTAGTGTTGCAGCTGTCGGACATTTTGCTAAGACAGATTGTGTGCATAACTACAGGCTGCCTTCTGTTTGTTTCCACTATTCTGAATATTAGGGATGCAGACTTTTGACTTATCTAGAGACTTAGTGGCTCATCAAATATTTATATACTTTTAAATAAAGTATTCTTTTATTTTTTTTGTGGCTGACCGAAATCATGAACTTGGGTAGTATGGTGGTAACACTACCCATTTATATAGATTTCTAAATTATGTGAAATGTTCACAGAAATAGAATTGGTTACTTTTTCATCATTGTTATAATTTTACTGCTTTAATATTGCTAAGTAAGCATTTCTTTAGTAAATGAATAATCATTAGGTCATTATTGAATGATTATTCCGGTAGTAAAATATATTATTTATTTTTAACCCAAAGGATCCAGTGGTAGTCCTGGATCTCTGACTTCTTTCTCCATTAACCTGGAACATAGAATTGACCGTATAGTAGTTCCAATAAGAGAGAATAGACCAAGCAGAACTTTTCCAATACTATTCTTTCTAGATTATTAGAGAGGGAGGATAAAAAGCATTATGATAGGTCAACACTAATTCTCAATACTGTATCATCAGCCTTGGCACCATCCAGATGTGTGGATTCAACTCCAGGATTTTCCCAACCACAACTATGGCTATGAATTCTGGGAGTTGAAGTACTCATATTTAGAAGCAACTACTTCCACCAAATGATTTGAAGCCCATGTTTTTGCCCAGGAGAGACATTTATCTCTCCTGAGATAAGGCTAAGAGAGATTCGGCTTTCCATCCTTCCGACGTCAGTAAAATGAGAACCTAGATTGTTAGAGGCAATATGCTGACTTTGTAAATCACTCAGAGGGTGCTGTAAAGCACTATGGAGCTATATATAAGCCTACGTGCTGTGGCTATCTTAGTTCCATCATTAGCAACCTTGATCATTACTTTTAGATTTGTAATTCCCTGCCAGTCAAAGTCCAGTTAGGACCTCCTTTGATATCTTTCCACTGGCAAACACAAAATGATCTTACTAAGACAGTGGTTCTCAACCTGTGGGTCGGGACCCCATTTGGGGTCGAACGACCATTTCACGGGGGTCGCCAAACAACGCAGTCCGCCATTTTTTCCCCCTTTTCCTTAGCTGTGCTACTCCCTTTTATTCTATTGGCTTTTGAAAGCCAATAGAATAGACTCTCTTGAATAGAGTCTAATTCTATTGGCTTTCAAAAGCCAATAGGAATTGTCCAGGCTGTCTCTGCCCTGCTGAGCCCGCCAAAAGTCCCATTCTGCAAACGGTGCTGCACCAGTTGAGTAATCCTCGACTTTTGACCGGTTGAGTAGTCCTCGACTTACGACCGGTTGGGGGTCGCGGCATTAAAAAGGTTGAGAACTACTGTACTAAGATGTCATATCAATTGCTGAAATAGAACCGCTCAGCTCAAATCCTGCTTATGTGAAAAACTCAAATGCAGCTATTTTCAAATTATGTTTTCTGGATTGTACAGAGTTGAATAAATACCCCTTTAAAGCAGCTTTTCTGAAAGTAACAAATTTCTTTTTCAAGCAGATATATTCTAAAGCACATAGGCCAGGCCTTTTCAATATTCCACTGGAACTATGTATATACCATGGAATATGAGACTGTCCGTTAATGATAGATTAATCAGTTCAGCCTCTGACTAAGAAATTAACAGGATTCTTTTTTTTTAATCATTGAAACTGGGGTCTGAGTTACAGCTGTACATTTTAGGTTAGAGTAGATGATGTTGTTTTACCATAAAATCAAAAGTTTAAACGGGATTTATTTTCAGAAATGAGTGATAATCTATGGTTTAATAAAGAAATACCTCTTCTAATTCTTTTCGGTGTCCCACAATGTCACTTTATACTGAGTTTTGCTTTGTATTTTATTTATCTCTTAGCCATACTAGAAAATGTAGATCTTAGTCTTTGTAGAGGAACAAGTAGAAATGATTTTTTTGCATTTAATTTTATTTATAGTTCATTTTTGCACAGCATATACTGCATATTTTAAAAAGGAAATTGAATCGTGGCATAATTACACAACATACAGATTATCTACTAACCTACTTGATTTAAAATGAGTAGACATTTTTCTATCAATAAACAACAGAATGATGGTATTCAGGTAATTATATTTTTCATGAAGTTGAGTATTAAGATGATAAATATGAATAAGTGTGGCATAGCTGTCCTAATCATCCTTCACTGCTTATGGCCATTAGCAATAATTCAACCTGTTCAGTCATTTATTCTCTAATGCCATACAACAGGTTGTAGCATGTTGGCACTGGCTTCCATATGTCAAGTCGTCTGGGAGTGGTCAGTTCAATCAACCATTCCAGAGTCCTCCATTTTTGCCAGGGATTTTGCTGGAAGCATATTTTCAAGGGGAGAGGAATGCACATCTTTTAATTGTCAAATCCAAACATATCAATGTGGACTACAGCTTCTGTTCTCCTGCTCCGCATGTTTTCTAACTCATTTTAGTTTTTTCCCCAAGGTTTTTTTTAAAATCCTTTTCATTTTACCTAAAACTTAATTTAAATTGTACTGGAGATTATGATAATAATGGTAATAACATACAATAACAGATATCTGTCACGTAACACTCCAGACTTAACAATTGTTGATAATAAAGACAAAAAAGTCTGGATAGTGGAGGTTGCAGTACTGGGGACGGTAGAATAGGAGAGAAAAAACTGGAGAAAAATCACAAAATACAAAGACCTTCAAACAGAAGTAGAATGATGGTAGCAAAAGAAAGCAAAAGTAATAGTAATAGGCACCTTGAGTGTAATCGCAAAACAACTGGAGCACCACTTGAACACCATTGGTATTGATAAATCATCATCAATCAAGAGTCCTGAGAATATTGTAGACAGCCAAGAAAATAAAGAAATGGATCATTGAACAAATTAACTCAAGGGTTCATACTTGAGACATAAATGACTAGGCTCAAAATCCTACTTTGGAAGACTTAGCTCCCAGGCTGTAATTCTGGGAAAGATGGATGGGGGGAAAAAAGAGAAAAGGATGACCTGCAGCAGGGTAGATGGACTTAGTGTGGTGATGTTGGAAGATCTGAAATAGATCTTAGAAATAGATTGCTGTGCAGAAAATTTAACTACTGTATATATTTATTATGAATTGAAAATGACTTGATGGATCTTAGACCAAATTTTTTTTTGCGCTAGGACATACCCACCAGACATGGTAATAAGTACCTGGCTTTCATATATGGCTGGAAAAGATGACTAAAATACAGATAGAATTTAAGCCAAAACTGTTATTGTTAGGAATACTAGGATCTAACTATGGGAAAGAGAATGAGCGTTTAATATTACATGTATTGACAGCTGCGAGAATAGCATTTGCCCAATATTGGAAAAATGAAAATATACCATCTGATGAGATCATAATTGGGAAAATTCTAGAATGTGCAGAAATGGATAGACTAACCCTAGAGATTAAAGAGAAAGAAGACTCAGTCTATTTTAAAACTTGGGAAAACTTTTACCAATGGTTAGCAAAACGAGTTAGCGAGTAATGATTGTAAAATTTAATAAGATGAATAATATCTACTGATTAATCGATATACTTCATGATTATTGTTATTTTTATTGACTATAGCTATTTATTATCATATTAACTATTCCTATTGAATATCTGTATCCAGACAATAGTCTGCTTGCTAAAGCTTGGAAATGTTATTGGAGACAACCCCATTGTTGTACCTACCCCTATCCCAGTGATGGCGAACCTATGGCACGGGTGCCAAAGGTGGCACTCAGAGTCCTCTCTGTGGGCACGTGCGCTGTCGCCCCAGTCCTAGGCCTTCAGCTGGGTTTTATAAAACCTTTTCACTTTAGGCCTCCACCACCGTGTGCAAAAAAAAAAAATAAAGGTTCAATCAGTCAATTTCAACTTCTCTTGGGGAAAAAAAAATATTGCATAGTTGGAATTGATTGATTGAACTTTTTAGTCCCACTCAGTCTGCCGTTATCATCACAGCCACCCCCACCCAATGGGCCACACCCATCTGGCACTCGACGATGCATAAGTAGGTTTTGGGTTGCAGTTTGGGCACTGCCCTATCCCAATCCCATCCCCGAACCCTACCCTGAATCCCATCCCACTACCTATATTGATCCTACCTTTCCCCCACCCTTATAAAATCTAATAAAATATTGTTAAAAAAAAAGAAAATGACTTGATGGCACATAATCAAATCTATTGGGGCAGAATACAGATACAGACGTCTGAAGCCAGTGAGAGTGAGCGAGTTAGAAGTAAGAGTCATTTTCCTCCCTTTCTCTCTCTCTCCTCTTTTCTTTCTTTTCCTGTTTGCTCAGTTGTTTTTAGAATTGTTTTTCAGAGGACAAAAACTGTTGAACAAAGGGCTTGCAAAATATTTTTGAAAATTGAGCCAAAGGCTACATGAAATTTGTACTGAGACTGCAGGTTAATACTCCTGGCCTCAACAGTTCCTAAAAGCAATGTCTCTATTATGCACTAGTATTTTCACAAAACATGAGGAAATGTGAGAGCTATTTCTTCTGTAGCATGGGACCTTCTTTGATTTCTGAAGTTTACAAGCCATGCTTTGATACTGCCCCATTTTCTTCTCCGAATTCTTTTGTATGTATTATTTTCTCTCTTATAGTTATTAATATGTGAAGCTACCTAAGGTCTTTTATTGAAAGGGTCCTCTCAGGGCAAATGACAAATGCAATTATTGTATGGAAGACAAGTTGCTGACATACATTAAAACTACTGTTCAGAACATCTTTCCTTAGGCAGGAAATAAAAATTGGTCTCCCTGAAATTTTTTATTAAAACTCAACTAAGCTAGCAATATGTTCTTTCTTCTCATAGTCTGCTTTTTTTTTTTTTTTAGAAAGCACCGTAAGCTCTGTTCTGTCAATTATAGCCTACACTAAATATAGAAAAGGACAGACAACAGTTATGCATATGCCATGCTCCACTAGTCAGTGCAAAGAAAGGGCAACTTGGAAATTTGCTGGTGATGGGCAAGAGGAGAAATGGTGGGAGGCAGGGATGGGTCACTCATAGGGAAAGTGGTGTTGGTGTATTGGTTCCATGTTCCAGGCTCCTGGACTCAGCCCCGAGATCCAGCGGCCTGAGCTTTTAGCAATTGATGAATTCCAGTTCAGATTGTAATGAGATCTCTCTCATTCATGGTTTAATGGTGAATGAGAGACTAACAGAATAACAGAGTTGGAAGGGACCTTGAAGGTTTAAAGCTGACCTGACATGCCTTGCGAAGACTCGGCTTAGTACAGAAGGGAAAGACCTCTTGGAAATTTGCCCAGCTGGGGCAAAGGTAATAGAATGGCTATCACCATCCTTGGGACTCTAATGGCTTTTGCATTGTCCCCCCACCCCATGTAAGCAGATAGGAGAACCTGCTGATTAGATGGGAGGGCTGCTACTGGACCAGCCTTTGTGCTGCGTGATTGTTTCCTACCTGGCAGCTTGTGGATTTGGAAGACTTAATCCTGCTCTCTTTAGGTGCAAAGCAGGGGGGCATCTTGGGAATGAATTGCTACCATAGACCAGACCTAGACCTGACCTAGAATTAGATCGTTTTTTTATTTGGAGCAGTAGCAATGTGATCTGAAGGCAAGGTTGCTATTAATCCTTTATCAGATCATTTTGAGTTCCCTGTTCCTGTTCCTCACCACAGGGAGGAAGATTTGTTAAATCGGCACCTTATAGACGTTTTGAATGGAACAGAAAAAAATGAATTTCTGATTTATGGCTTTGGTGATTGCACAGAATAGCTTATATAAAAGAAGACAATTATTTTGTAACCATTGAGTAAGAGATAAAGTTATAATTGTACTTACAAGTGCTATAAAGATCAGAAACTACTTCTTTATATCTTTTTTCTTTTGTTTTTCTATTTTTCTTTTTAACCCCCCCCCCCCCTTTGTTACACTTTTTTTGGCTTGTATTGATTTCTTTCTTTTATTTTTCTCACTTCTTATTAGCTTGCATTAGTTTTTAATCTTTTTAAAAATCCTTAATCAAATTATACCACTCCCCCAAAAAGATTTATTAACTTAATCTTCCTCAAGGTCTTCATGTGATCTTGGGGTTTCACAGGGAATTTGGGATTTGATGCACAGAATGCCTTAGTCATTACCTGGAATAAGGGGATGATGACAGCCTTAGATTAGCTGCATCTGAGAAAACTGTATATTGATCTAGAGAGTTCCTTAGTTTACTGGCAAATTCTAGGAGAGGAAGTGGTAGAAGAAACATCTAGAAGACAGTTAGAAGAGGACAAACCTGAGTTCAAATAAATATTTTTAATTAATATGTACTTAGGGTGATAACAGCAACAAAACATGGTTATTTTTCTTCTCTTATGCCCATAGATAGCTGACTCCCTGGCAGCCCTATTTAGGGTGACAGTCTGTCTGAGACAGGAGGAATTGGGGAACAGTTTAATTTTAATTTTAACTGAATCATGTCTTTGTCTGTACAATGTTTTTGAATTGGTTTTGATCATCCTGTGTTAGCCTTCCAGAATCACAGTTTGTGAGTTGGATGGTCATAAAAATCGATTAAATAGGTAAATAAATAGCAACACCCATTCTTCCAATAAGAAAGCAGTTCAACTTTTCAGGAACAGTTTAAAGAAACTGAGTTGCATTTAGGATGGTGTTACTGTCATATTAAATGTGACTGATCTTTTCAGTTTTGCAGATAAGCTTTACTAGCCACCACTCTCCCCCCCCCCATATATAACTTCATCAGTCTAACAAAAATATCTCAACTTTCCTGCCTGGGCACTTTGAAGCATTATTTATCACAAGTGACCAGTGAAATGATAAGTATTTTCATCTTGCAGTTTTATGTATAGAAATGCAATGATTGGGCTAGCAGCTTAGCTTAAAACTGCATATGCTGAATATTCTTCCATATTAGCCTCCCAATGGTTATAAATCTTTTAAAAAGCTGTCTCTGACTTAAACAGTTGGGCTCTTTGATGCTTTGCTTCCCAGCCATTGGAATAGTTGATGATAAACTTGAGTCAAAGCCTGTCTTAAAAAATCAGAGTGATTCTGTTGATTCATGAGAACAAAATGAAAATAAAAAAGCACATATTCATAACATGGTAGTAATTTTATTAGACCTTATTACAGAACAATATATGTTAAAATACTGTGTAACTTTTTGGCAAGATGTTTAGGCAGTGTGAGAAATTTTGAGGAGGCTAAGAAAGATATGGGGGAATTTAAATCAAAATAATAAATGGGAGAAAAGCCGAGGTGGCGCAGCAGTTAGAGTGCAGTACTGCAGGCCACTTTAGCTGACTGCGTTCAGCAGGTCAGTGGTTCAAATCTCACCTGCTCAAGGTTGACTCAGCCTTCCATCCTTCTGGGGTAGGTAAAATGAGGACCCAGATTGTTGGGGGCAATGTAAATATATATATATATATACACACACACACACACACACACACACACACACACACACACACACACATATATATATATATATATATATATATATATATATATATATTGCTTACTGGTGTACACCGCTTAGAGAGTGCTTGCACTTAAAAGCGGTATATAAGTCTCATAAATAAATAAATAAATAAATAAATAAATAGATGGCAGAGTTGCAGAAAGCCCTGAAGATGAAATTCAGAATATATAGAGATTCTGTCTTGAGGAACTCCTTAGTAAAAGAAAGCTGGAAGTTCCTATTAGAATTTTCAAGATTCTATACTTTGCCCCTAATTCTTGTATAGATAGTCTTCAATTTGCAATCGTTGCTAAGTGAATCTGGTTTCCCCATTGACTTTTCTTGTCAGAAGGTCGCAAAAGGGGATCACATGACCCTAGAACATTGCAACCGTCATAAATGGGAATCAGTGGTCAAGCATCCGAATGTAAATCACATGACTATGGGGATGCTGAAATGGTCATAAGTGTGAAAAATGGTCATAAGTCACTTTTTTCAGTGTTGTTCTAACTTCAGATGGTCACTAAGCGAACTGTTGTAAGTTGAGGACTACCTGTATTAAAGCTCCGCAGTTGAATGGTTTTGCTTTGTGGATTATGCCCTGCAGCATGGAGCTTAACAGATAGTTGGTGGGTCACCCATGTAACCCTTCTGGGAGGAAATTCTCCAGAAATTACCTCAATCACAGAGCAGATGATGATGGTTTACAACCTGATGTGTAATTATGCTATAACAACACTGAGGTAAACTGGGCTACAAGAGGCTGACTGGCCCAAGGTAACCTTCAATGGCTGAGAATTGATTAGAACCTGGTAGAACACCTTGATCTCTGTAATAAGTAGAACACCATGATCATTGTAATAAGATAATAAGCAATCTGCCCTTGTCACATATTATCCCAAGATAATGTAGTTGAGGCCTGTCATCTTTCAATCAGATTTCACATTATAGTCTTTTTGGAAACTAAAGGTATTTTCTGTGTTTTGTCCATCTCTCTCACACTTTGACCTGTGTTTCTCACCCTCTTTCTGAATGTTGTTTTCCTCTCTGCCCATCACAGCAACACTGTTCTTGAACATATGCTTGCATGTACATGTTAAATCTCTATTTTGAAGCCTTATAATTCCTTTTCCATTTTTCTCTCTGCAGGGCCCCTCGGTTTAAAGGATTTCAACAACAGGATAGCCAGGAGGTGCTCCACTACTTGTTGGATGCAATGAGAATAGAAGAAACGAAGGTGAAGTGTTTATTTTTGCAAAAAGTACCAGTTTGACTGAAATGACTACTTTTTTAAAAAAAACAACAACTTTGTGCTATTATATGCTGTATATGAAGAAAATGATTTACTTTGGTTTACATCTTCAAGATGTCGACTGTGTATTGTGGGTCTTCAGTGAAGCACCGATGATGTTTGTAGCTATTTCCATTTATTAATTTTAAATAGAGTTTATTCATTGGGTACTGTCTGATTGCTGTGTGAATTTGTTTTGCAAATGAAACCTAAGATTTGCTCTCATATTTTACTATGTTCAGGGATTCACTGAAAGAAGTTCTTTTATTTTATACTGCTGTTTTTATTATATTGTAATTTAATAATTATAATAATGTAATAAAAACACATATGAAGGGGAGTGTCAGGAAACAGGGAGATAACTATCTTGATTTTAGCCCGTTGTGAAATTATATAGCAGGAAAAGTGCTAATTCCCAAAAGAGCACTATCTGATAGCGTATTAGCAGAAATAAATCAAAACGATCCTATCATCTGTTTTCTTCATTGCCCATAATCCTACATTCCTTTCTTCCTTTCCCTTTAAGGAGGGCAAATGTTGAGCCTGCATCAACAATTAAACCCATATTTTGCCATAATAGAGCAATATAGCAAACAGGGATTTTATTACCTCAGGCTTCACAGCAAGGGGCATTACTAGTAAAAGCTGTTGCACCCCCCCCTTCCTTCCCCCCCCTCCACTTTTCAGGTTTCTGTATAATCATGGCAAATGGAGAATGTCAAATCTGAGAATCTGGACCATCTTGTGAGCAGCGACAGTTGTGCCAGCCTGAACAAACCTGAACAACATTGTCTGTCATGGGAATACCACAGCTGTTAATCGTGCTATTGTTAGAGAGTGTCACTACGGTGTCTTTTTTTTTTTTTTAATTGAAGAAAGCCTCCAGCAGTCTATCCGCCACCAGAATCCTTTAAAACTGATTAGAACGACTAAGCACTCTGTTCTCATGTTTTTCTTAAATGTGGTTCTTATAAGGATTCACTTTGGGTCAACTTTTGTTTAATTTGCAGTTCTGTATTATCCCATCTTTCTGAGTTATCTATATTTCTGCACAAGTAATTAAAATAGGTATTTTTTGTAGCTTGTGAAGTTTTTTTTAATAAGAACTGTTTTTAATCATAAACAATCATTAGAAATAATAAGCATTTTGGTAAAATTAAATTTTCTTACTTTAGAGCCACAGAGGGATTTGTGGCTACTTAATCTGTATTTTGTATTTTGAGACAGTTCTCTTAGTAATATGTCCTGTTCATGGACTTGTATTTGTAATTGGTTTGTCCTGAATTATTATAAATATAGCGTTTAGATAAATTAATACATAACTATTTTTCAAAAAGTCAGTAATCCGGGTGAAATTGCATACAGTCCCCTTATCCCAGTGTTGCATACTAAGAGTGCTTCACACCATTGCTTGTTAATTGATTAATGTCTGATGCACTCAAACTCTTAAAAGACTGTCTTTTTGATCTAAATAAATGGTTCAATATGTCATTTCAATAAAAAGAGAGTTTCTTTTGCCTGCAAATTTGTTTATGAGATCATCTTAATGAGTTATTTATTTAGTTTCATGGATGGATTCTTTTTAACATGTTATTGGATTTAAGATGATTAGAAAAAGTCCTTGAGTCATTGGGAATTAATAACTAGGGCAAGTATTTGTGAAGTAGAAACTCATTTGGTAGAGTAGTGCTAATATATTTCACTATATATTCATCATTGTACCATTAAACCAGTAATATATAAGTAGGTACCCTTCATCTGTTTCATGATTAAATTTTTTCTAGGTTTTCTGATGGTGATAGTGACACATTTTATTCACATAAATGAGAAATCACTTTATAGAGACCTATTTTTAAAATGCAGTCATGTATGATTTAATTAGAAGCACAGAGGTCTATGCAATAATCACAGTCGAGTTGTAGCATACATTTTAATGTTAAAACTTTTTGTATGGATTGTTTAATGATGTCCGTCCTGAATGTTACATTAATATATATTAATACCAAAAATATCCAGGTGTAAATTTTGTCTTGCCCAATATTTTCCCTGCCAAATATTTGGACTTATTTTTACCTCCAGATATCAGATTAAAACTTCTATTGTGCTACCCATCCAGCAAACCTCTTAATATTTTTGAGAAACAAGTACTCAAGTAAAAGTGTCCAAGATTACATTTTTATCATAAGTTTATTTTTTTCAAACCGGAAGGAGACAGATCAATTGATCTTTTGTAATTTATTATTTTCTTTTGTCTTTGTAACATTAACCCCATCTGTTAGCCAATTCATCGGGATATATATTATCCTGCAAAGAAAGGAACCTTTTCCTCCTTTTCTCACTGGAACTGAATTTGGTTTTCCCCTTCCATGTGGTCATCTTTTCTCCTTCTGCTAATGATTTTAATATTTTCTCTAATTTTTTTTTCTGTGTATGCTTGATGCGAGCAGTAATCTTCTTTTAAATCATTCCAGAAGTGATGCATTTTACTAAAATACACAGACTGCAACATTATTGAAGTAATGGATTTTCAGACAACAGTAGACTTTGTGTGTGTGTGTATGTGTATTTTCAGACAACAGTAGACTTTGTGTGTGTGTGTATGTGTGTGTGTATATATATATATGTATGTGTGTGTATATATATATATATATATATATATATATATATATATATATATATGTAGGTCTTTGGTTGTTCGGGTTTTCTCCCGCGTAAAATTGGAAGTGTTTTGGCGACGTTTCGACGAAGTCCCATTCGTCATCTTCAGGCTGGTGTTTTCAGCTTCGTGCTTCGAGCAGCAATATATATGTATGTATATATATATATATATATATATGTATATATATGTATATATATATTTTCATCTTTAGGCTGAATGAGTTTTGAAGTGGACGCTTTCTGGTTTAAGTTAATTTTAATTATGCAAATTGCTAGTTTTATGTTAGAAAAGGAGCAACAATGTATTTAAAAACTTGATAAAATCCACTATATCTTTTCTTGTGACACACATATGTTTTTTGTATAAGAAGGGAAAAGTTCATCATTCTGTTGTTTTCTGATTGAATTATTGCTGATAATATATATTTAATTTGTTGTAGAACCGTATTTTATTATAGCTGTTCTTATATATTTTGTAGTTTTGGACTCATTTTGCAACTCCTTTGACTCGGCCTTAAGGAAAAGGAAGTATAAAAATAACTAAGAATAATTAAATAAAAGAATGTGGAAACAAGAGTAGGGGCCTTATTGTGAAAGACTGAGATTGTATTTCAAACTCTGTCATTAATATAAGTCTATGTGTTTGAAAGAAGAGTAACTCCTTTAAGAAGAAACTAGACAAGCCACTTGTCTGAGATGGTATACTATAGGATCTCCTGCTTGAGCAGGGGGCTGGACTAGAAGACCTCCAAGGTCCCTTCCAGCTCTATTCTATTCCTCTCATCTAAGTAGGCCGTTTAATTTTTTTTAAAGTTAAAACTACAAACTTTAATAAAAATGTGCTAAATATCTGTGTTTCAGCGCATACAAGCTGCAATCTTAAAAGCATTTAATAATCCAACAACTAAAACAGCAGATGAAGAAACCAAAAGAAAAGTCAAAGGTATGGTTTCCTTTGGCAGAACTTACCTGTGTTATTTCATAGAGTTCTCTTATTGTGCAAATGAGTGACTTTTATAGTGTTGTCTAAAAGGCAAATTCATTTATAAAGAATACTGAGTTCCAAAGTCATATGTGTGTCTATCTCTCTGTGTATACATACATGCATACATTAACTGGACTTGGAAGCTGACCTGGTTTTATCTGGATCTAATTTGTTGTTGTTGTTGGATGGGAAACCACAAGAAAATTTAAGAGAGTGCATTAACTGAGAGATTGAGTAAACATCCCAGAAAGTGGTAGAAGCAAATGACTTCTGTATTGTTATCAAGACAACTGACCCCCATCACCAGGAATTTAACTCAGATTGAAATAAATGTTTGATATATACTGCTCAAAAAAATAAAGGGAACACAAACGTATAGGATCCTATACGTTTATGTTCCCTTTATTTTTTTGAGCAGTATATATTAGGAGTTTGTATCTATTCTGGCGCCACCTAGTGATGATATGAAACACTTGTTGGATCAGGGTGGTTTATCCATAATAGCCTGATTCTCTGATAGAGACAATCAGATTGTTCTCTAATAGACTCCATAAAAATGGATATCCTAGCATTTTCACTAGAAGGCAGAATATTGTATAACAGAGGTAGTGTATTTAAGCTGCATGCTGAAGTACTCGATCAATAATTGAGGAGGGAAGAAGAGTACACAAGTAGAAGACTGCAGAGTCTGTACACACTTATCTAGGGAAATGTTTCACTGATTTCTGAGAAGGTACTAGGATTGTACCATGAGGCACTACTTTTCTTTTAGATAGAAAAGTTGAAAAGTTGGCAACTTGATGGGTGCAATAAAAAAGATTTCAGATATAAATAGAAGACTATAGCCCTCAACATAATTTAGCTGCAGAATGTATAAAATTCATGCTATGTAAGGAGTTGGAGAGATTATTTTCTGCTGATAAAACATCAGCTATGTCATTTCAGGGAAAATAGTTGTGCTTCCCAGCTTGTTAATGAGTAAAGTTGACATAATTATTTAAAGATAGTGAAACCCATATTCTTTGAATAGTTTCTAAAATTATATTAAGGGGGAAAAATAAAATCTATTGGAATTTACTGATGCATCACACAACGTAATAAAATATCTGCCACATTCCTTGTGAAATACAAAGGACATATCTTTATCTAATCATCAGAAATAAAAACCAAAACTGAATGCAGTCATAGATTACTCATTTTTATAATCAAACTGTATCTGGATGCAAACATCCAGTGACCTCTTTCCTCTTATTGCCATCTGGTGGCCACCCAAGCATTTGCAGCTTTGGTATGATATACTGGTGTATATATTTTTCCTGCTGATGGATGCAAACTATAACTTATTTTGGGTGTATATTTTCTGAAATAAATCCTAGAATTAATTCTGCTAAATTTAGAAGAGAGGTGCACAATTTTTAAAGAAGTTCTTTTTTTGCAGCATATGGAAGAGAGGGTGTGAAGATGAATTTCATAGACAGGATTTTTGTGGGTGAATTGACCAGCACTATCATGTGTGAGGAATGTGAAAACGTAAGTATTATGGAATTCGATATGATTTGATAAGAAGGGTGTTGAATAATCATTTGGATAATGGTAGGCTAATTTCTGATATTGTCATGACAATGTGGATTGGCTTCTTAAATATTAGAGAAATCAATTCACTAAGTTCAACTTGATCTTCCAGCTCTCCAATTTGTCAAGTATTTGCTTTACTTGGATTAAAAAAAAAGAAATGTTTTTCTTATAATCAGCATAGATCTAAGAATACCAGTTATGGAAAATATACTAATATGTAAAGAGAAAGAATGTTTTTTTTTTCCTGAAATATTCATTAGTGCATGCAGGCCAACACTTGTGTTGTAGCCTGCAACTTGAGCAGGGGATGGAGGCACATCACAGAAGTCAATAGGCTGCCTCAGGTACTGGTATAAGATGAAAAGGGCAAATACATATATATATATATATATATATATATATATATATATATATATATATGCAGAAATTACATCTATTTTTCTTTCTTCACTGCCTTCAATTGCATTGCCTTCAATTGCTTGAAAAAAAGCAAGTGAACAAATCAGAATAATAAGGAAGAAAAGCAACTCTAGGCAACGGAGTTGGGAGTGGGCCTCCTACCAGGGTGCGGACTTTGATATTCTAGCTTCTAAGATGAGAGACAACTCAGTTGCTTGGTGCCTGATTCTACCAGCCAGTACACTTGGCCTTGTTTCATAGTTTGCTTTAATTGGTGTCTCTGCTGAAGGAAGATTCTGTGATCCAGTAGAAGTTTATGCATTAAGGAAGGAATGACAATTTTGATAACTACTCTTTGGCCTCACTGCCTTCCACAGTTCTTTTTAAAGAGCTGCCAATCCATCAGAGCAGGAAGAGGGGAAATAACTGAAAATGATCTCTTCACCCTCTACTTCTAATAGATAGCAAAAACTTTCTATTAGTCAAGAGACATTAGCTGAATATATAGTCATGTGACTGGGGAATAATTAAGTATTTTAAAGAAGTATTTTTTATGAATAGTACTGATTTAAATATATTTGTCGATACCCATGAAGAATCATCTTTTAATAGTTTCTATAACTTACATTGGTGATAATGAGCAGTTCATAATTACGTGAGTTTTTTTCCTAATGTGTCTGTATTTCTGAATTCATAAGCAACGAGGATTACGTATTCAGTTTCCAAGATTCTTTATCCTGCTCCCTTTTTCCTAGTATTAGAGCAGATTAATGAAATTCCATATAAACCTTGCTTCATATCTTGTACATTGTTGTCAAGAGGTTTGATACTACTATTAGACATATATAGAAGTTGGTTATTTTTCTCTGCTTTTAGTGGACAACATCCTGAAACCACCTATAACAGTGGTTCTCAACCTTTTTAATGCCGCGACCCCCAACCGGTCGTAAGTCGAGGACTACTAAACCGGTCGTAAGTCGAGGACTACTCAACTGGTGCAGCACCGTTTGCAGAATGGAACTTTTGGCGGGCTCAGCAGGGCAGAGACAGCCTGGACAATTCCTATTGGCTTTTGAAAGCCAATAGAATTAGACTCTATTCAAGAGAGTCTATTCTATTGGCTTTCAAAAGCCAATAGGATAAAAGAGAGTAGCACAGCTAAGGAAAAGGGGGAAAAAGGGCGGACTGCATTGTTTGGCGACCCCCATGAAATGGTCGTTCGACCCCAAATGGGGTCCCGACCCACAGGTTGAGAACCACTGACCTATAAAGTAGTCAAATTATGTGTTCATGCTTGTAGAATTCAACATAAAATTCTAAAGCAGGAGCCCCCAACCCCGATCTGTGGACCAATACCAGGCCACGGCATACCAGCAACCAGTCTGCACAAACAAGCAAAGCCCCATCTGCGGGATGCAGGTAGCACACAAAAGCACACATTCTCTGGTCTGTGGAAAACCTCTCTCCTCTCCACGGAACCGGTCCCTGGTGCCCAAAAGGTTGGGGACCTCTATTCTAAAGGAATCTCTGTTCTCTTTTGTAATAGGATACTGTATTTTATAATACTTCCAGTGCATTTTAATGTGTCTTATCTGTGTAAAGGTACATGAAAACTGTTTTACTTGCATAAAGAGTTATTCACCAGCTCAAGGTTGACTCGGCCTTCCGGCCTTTATGAGGTCGGTAAAATGAGGACCCAGATTGTTGAAATATGCTGATTCTGTAAACTGCTTAGAGAGGGCTGTAAAGTACTGTGAAGTGGTATATAAGTCCAAGTGCTATTGCTAAGTGCTACTCTTTTATAAAGCTATTAAACAGCAAAGCACACAGAATAGAATCTGTCACAGTGTCCCACGGTTACATGATTGCCTCACAGCTGGCTACCAACAAGCCGAGTCAACAGAGAAGCTGGCAATAAAATTGCAAGCTGTGATCATGTGATGTCCACAGGTGATTTGCTTAACAATCACAGTGCATGTATGGCTGTAAGCCCATTTGCATTCATGTGGTATCTCACAATGACTATATTGCTTAGCAACAGAGTTGCTAATCCCAATTGTGCTCATTAAATACTACCTGTACAGTAGGGATTTGTTTTTTCCATTTCCAAATCCCAGTTCTTCGAGTTTTGTAAAGTATTCCAATGCCTAATAAAAATGTGTTTACTATATAACTTTGTATGTATGGGGGAATCCAGAAGATGTGTATATTCACTTGCCATTTTCATTTTTTTGTGTTTTAAGATTTCCACAGTAAAAGAACCCTTCATTGATCTTTCCCTTCCTATCATAGAAGAAAGGGTAAGAAAGTTCTTGTTCAATAAAGCCTTCATTTTAATTGTCAGAAGTCTTCTTTGTGCCAGTTGATATAAAGAACTCAGCCAATTTAGGATGAAGAAAAGAAGAATATATTGTTACTCATAGAAATTATAGCTGGTGTCATATATCACTTTAAATCTGGCTTGGTTTTGATTTAGACTAGATTACTGTGTAAACTCAGACATTACAATTTTTAATTCATGGTATGTATGAACTCCAATTCTGGTTAAAAATGTCTTAAGATGATTTGATACACCCTAATAACCCATCTTGATTTTTCTAGATCTCAAAACCTGTTTGTTTTGGAAGGACAAGCAAAGGTAAACAAATACAAGAAGCAGATATTGATCGATTCAGCTGTTCTTCCATAAGAGTTCTGACTAATCAGCAATCAAAATTATCTAGAAAATGTTCATTAACAAAGGATAAGGTAAGAATAAGCCAGTATGGACAATTGTACATGAATTCAGATGTTTTTCACATAAATTTCAATGTTCTCTCTAAATACCTGGAGTAACATATTTTTAATTTGCAATTGTAGATCCCAAGTGTTTCGATGTACTTTGATCACTTTTTTCAGAAATCTTAGTACTGCATTGATTGAAAGATTTTAATAAAAGAAATGATTGTGACTGAAATATATATAAGATTGTATATAAGTATGAAGAGACTGAAGATATCTTAAAATGATAGATTTAAAGTATAGGTACTTGAAGACAAACATTCAAATCTGATTTGGGAACCTTGCTGAAAAATGATTTTAAACAGTATCATTTAAAATCTTTTGAAAAGAACTTCCATAAATTCAGAAGCTGTTTGTTTATTCATTATCAAAATTTAGTTTCCACATTCTGCACATTGGTTATAAATGGCAGCGTCAATTACAAACATATGAAGTTGGCAGGTTCTAACAAGATCAAGAGGCTCTATCAATTTAAAGTAATTTATGTATTAATTTAAACTATTTACACAAAGACTAAAACTAAATGGTTTTCTGTTTAAATTTCTGTCATCTCATAATTATGTAGATTTCCTTTCATTTGATAGTTTCTTATTCAGGCTTTTTGGCCCCTTCAGACATAAACATTTTACAATATTACAAATCACAGTAAGCGATAATGCGGTTGACATTTGGTTTAACTTAATAAATAAATTGAAAAGATGCCAAAAAGATTGTGCCAATGAATGTGCTTGAGTTTTTTATAGTTTCCTGGTTAATGGGTTGCATTTTGCTCAACCCTTTAATCAATCCATAGTGCAGCTAAAGACCAGCTAAAGAAAGAAGGAAAATAAATCATGAATAAGCCATAGAAACTACAGTATGATAATTTGTTCATCTTCAAGAGAAACTTGGGTTATCTGATTATGCCTAAAATAAACCATGGTTTAGCACAATGTATGATAGTAATCACCATTGATACTTATTTCCTAAGTTCCTAAGTAAGTTCCTAAAGCCGAATGGTGTAATATAGAAATATTTTTTACCTACAAAATACACGTATTGCTGTTATTTTCTTTTTTATGTCCTGTGTTGAAATCCTGTATTCTTAGCCAAGGATGACAGAAAACTTTGCTTCTCTATAAAAAATTAAGGCCATTCTAATTCACCTTGTGGCAAATAAATTTAATAACAAACAAATAAACAAAATAATTAATTCAGTAATGTACCTTACTGAATTGAATAGCAATTTTTAAATTTCTCATTGCCAAACCTAAAATTCAAAAATAAAAAGCACCAGTAGTGGAATTCCAACATAAACTTTTTAAATTATTCTTTTATTTATGTTGTAATATTAATGTTCATTTACAGTTTCAAATTGGCTACAACAAACCCAGTAAAAAATGGCCTTTCTTTAAGAAAGACTCTTTCATGAAATATTGTGGATCAGGAATTAATCTGAAGAAAAAGATGTCATCTTATGTCTTTTTAATTTGTGGAGAGTTTTAAAAAAAACCCATTGCCTTTAATTTGTAGCAAACAGAAAAGGACAATAATGGAATTCAAATATAAATAACAATAGTGATAGCACTTAGACTTATATATCTCTTTAAGCAGTTTACAGATTCAACAAATTGCCCCCAGCAATCTGGATCATTTTACCGACTTCGAAAGGGTGGAAGGCTGAGTCAAACCTGAGCCAGTGGGAATCAAACTGCCGAACTGCTGGCAGTCAGCAATGTAAATGAAGAATCAAATATACCAAAAAGTAAATAGAAGAATTCTAATAATACAAATTATTAATATATATTCTACACACACAAACTATATTAAATAGTAAAAAGCAAACTCTTGCAATAAAAGCAGAACATAACACAATTTAAAAAGAAAAAGGACATATTTCCAAAGGAAATAACAAATGTGCCATAGGTAGGCCAACAATAAACAGCAAAAATAAAACTTCAGCTGGACATCATTGAATAAAAACTAGCTTGAATACAAGAAAGGTCTAAAAGAAGGTCAGTCAGTCTTTTATGAAGGTCAGTGACCAAAATTACACTTACCAGGAAATAGAAATTAAGACATGGGAAATGTAAAAATAAATGAAAAGAAACAATGACTTAGATAATCAGTATGATTAGTTACCACAGGTTTTACAAATAATAAAACAAAAATTGGCTGAAGGGACCGAATCATATTGACTTGCTAACAGTTATATCTAATATAAATCTGAATGAGCCAGAAGTTTAATTAATGTGCAATATAAAATAAAGCTATGCATTTTTATAAAATGGGTAGGATTTCACGTTTTTCAAGAACAGAGAGCAAATGCCCCAGCTCTTCTTCCCAACCACTTGGTACCATCCCTGCTTAGACTATCAGTCTGAACTCTAAAATCTAATCGTATAGAAGGCCCAGTTTCTAGGTATACCTACATATTTATGCATGTGTAAAGAAAGTAAGATTGTATTTGCAGTGCTTCTTTTTATATATATATAGATTTTATTATAGGGTTAGGGATAAGGTGGGGTTGGGATTAGGGTTGGGATTTGGGTTAGGGTTAGGGTCGGGGTGAGGGTGGGTTTTTTTCCAAATAACATTTTCAATATTTAGCAAACAGCATAATGTCTGGGTACATGTATTTAACTAACAATAATAGATGTAGTCAATTATCATAAACAATATATTAATCACTCAATAGCCTTCTTACTAATATATATGCAAAATTACATATCACATTCTTTTCTCTGTGACTTGTTTTTCTAGCCATTGATGAAAATTATCCCATGTTCTAAAATACACTGAGTCTTCTTTCTCTTTTATCTTTAAAGTCAATCTATCCATTTCTGCACACTCTAGAATTTTCTTGATTAGTACTTCTTCAGTTGGTAAATTTTCATTTTTCCAATGTTGGGCAAATACAATTCTTGCTGCAATCTTTCTCATAATTAGCTCCTATTATTCCTAACAAAAATAATTCTGGTTTAAAGACTATTTGTTTTTTAATTATTTTCTCCAACCATAAATGTATTTGCACTGCTTCTATGCGGTTTGAATCATGTGGTAATGTTTTTTTTTTTCTTTTTCCTTTAACACTTTGATGATGACTTGGCAGAACCAAGTAAACCATGAAAGACGACTTGCCAACAAATCTGATGAAAAAGAAACAAGCCCTTTTATCCTGCCTGGAAAAATCAGAAACTCTAAAATAGAAGACAGAGCCAATCCTTCATGTGCAAGAGACAGCAGTGCCCTCCTGGACTCTCCAGGAAATGGAAGTCAGACTGAAGGCAGTGAGAAAGAAGTCAGCCGTTCTGAAAGTAGCATTGATGCCGATAGCGAGGCTTCTGAAAGTGAAAACACTTCTAAGCAAATGACGGCCAATAAAACTTGCCCCACGCCTGATTTGTGCACAAATGGACACAGACACTTACCTGCAAATACTAAAATGCAGTACAGCAAATCAAGCAATAGCAGTACAGAGGCACTTACTAGTGCCTTGTCAAAATTTCACTTTGGAAGCACAGCCATTGAGAGCGAAGGCCCTCTCAACACTCTTTCGAGCCTGTCGAAGAGCACTGCCTTTTCAACAGAGGGGCAAAACCCTCAAAATGCTTTCCAGACTCTTTCTCAGAGTTATGTAACAAGCTCTAAGGAATGTTCGGTTCAATCATGCCTCTATCAGTTTACCTCCGTGGAGCTGCTAATGGGAAACAATAAGCTGCTGTGTGAAAACTGTACAGATCAGAAGCACAGAAACCAGAAAAAAGCAAATTCCGCAGGTAGCTGGTAATAATAATAAAAAAATCTTTCTGATTCAAGGACATGCTCCTTCAAGAGTGGTATTTGCGTGTCCTGCAAAGCCGTGCCCTCCCCATGTTCTAATCCAGGAGTGTCAAACTGCCGGCCCGTGGGCTGGATGCGTCATGCTGAAACCGTGTCCACCCCATTGCCGGCAATGGAGAAAAAGTCATGATACGTCACGACATGTCATGTGACATTGCGAGTTTGACACCCCTGTTATAATCTATACTATCTGCTTTAAAAGTGAATTGGGGAATCCATTTCAAAGACCTTATATAAACTCACCTAGAGGTGAACTGTTCATTGATTCTTTGCAGGTAAGATTGTTCGAGTTCATTGCTGGCTTTGATGGCCCTTTGAACCAAGGGTGTCTGCTGAACCACCCAGCAGCATCCTTTTGTGGCAGATTTATAGTTTATCTCCTGAAGAATAGGGGAATGTTCTTGAATCTGTTGGAGCCAGTTGAAACTCTTCTCAAGTTGGCTTTGAGGGCCCTATAAAAAAAGAAAAACTATTCAGCCAATGATCAGATTGTTGCTTCCTTCTTGCAGATAGAAGGAAAGAGTAAAGTTGTTGCTGAAGGAATTATAGCTTTGTCAGTTTTAATGACTGTTGGGTGATATCCCATATTCCACACTCAGCTAAGTTGATGGAGAAGATACTCATTCAAAGGTTTTTTTTTTTTAACATTCTGAGTTTAGCCATGGAGTTGTCCATTGGTTGACCTGTACATATAGAATGACAAGGAAAACCCTTATTAATGCTACTGGCTCTTTCAGTGGCTTGTGATACTATTGACCAGGATATATTGTTGGAACATCTGTTTCTATCTCTATCATCTCTCTCTATTTCTATCATCTCTGTCTCTATCTCCATCTCTGTCTCTATGCTCTGCCTTATAAATGATGTGTTTTTCATGTATTTCCAGATCATTTTCCTTATAAATGATGTAATTTTTTTTATAGATAAGAAGACAGAAGGTGTCTATACAAATGCTAGGAAGCAGCTACTGATTTCTTTGGTTCCTGCTATTCTGATCCTTCATCTGAAAAGATTTCATCAGGTAATGCCCTGAAATAGATGGGTTCCCCCCCCAAAGTTAATAGACAGGAGTTTTTTTTTATTAGCGCTACATTTAATATTTGTATGGTTCATTTTCAAAAGTTGTCTAGGAGTGGTGGAAAATTTGCAAAAACAAAATGGTCTTTGTTGCACACTAGAATTTTACCATTTTGACTGAGCAGCTGATATATAGGTTATATTCAGAGTTAGTTGTCTTTCCAATACTTTTGCAAAGTAATATAGCATATTTTCTGTTAAAAGAAAAAAATAAATGGGTCAAGTTTTGTTTCAGCACTACTTGACTCCTAGCTTAATAATATGCTTCAAATATAGCATGAAGGTTCAGGTTTTGCTCTTGATTCCTAAATATTCTATGTTTAATTTTTGCTGGACTGGAATGATACAAAGCAAGAAGATATTTTAGGTTGTATATTGTAGCTCTATAAGATCATTTGTTTTGTAGATCACTCATAGTAAGTACTGATTTACTTATTTTAAAATGTAACATTTCAAATATTTAAGCATTAAATTAAAATTTTACAAATATTTTCAATTTCTTCTTAAGGCTGGTATGAGCCTACGAAAAGTAAATCGGCATGTAGATTTCCCACTTGTTTTGGACCTGGCTCCATTTTGTTCTGCCTTTTGCAAGGTAAGACATAATAAAAACATAATATCAGATTGTGTTTGAAGCAAAATTGGTAATGTTTCAGTTGAAAATTTCTTCTTACAGATGTCAAACATTTTTAGTCATACATTTCAGTTAGATTCTTATACAACACAGGATTATTCTGTTAAACCAAGCTTTAACATTAGCTGAAAATACCTTTTGCTACTTGAAATTAGAATAAACTGGCTGTTTTTTTAAAAAAATAAAATTGCATTTATTTAACATGTATCAAACAGTTGGCCAGTCCTAGTTTCTACAATAAAGGCTTTACATTCTTCTTGGTAGCTTAGATTTATGGCTAATTATTAACAATACATTTAAAAGACAAAGAAAGAGAGAAATAAGGCAAATTAAAATATAAAAAAACCATGTTAGTTAGCCAGTGCAACAGCATTTCAAAACCTATATTGAAAATATTACAAAGTCCATACTGCGTGGCCCTCACTTCCTTCCTTCCTTTCCTAGAATGTGGCTGACGGTGGGAAGGTCCTCTATGCGCTTTATGGAATAGTAGAGCATAATGGTTCAATGCGGGGAGGTCATTATGCAGCTTATGTAAAAATCCGATCATCGTCTAAAAAACATTTGGAGCACAATTCTAGCAATAAAAATGTTCAAGGTAGGTATCTAAACAAAAACTGTGTGATTAGATTATATATATATATATATATATATATATATATATATATATATATGTGTGTGTGTGTGTATATATATATATATATATATATATGTGTGTGTGTGTGTATATATATATATATATATATATATATATATACACAAACACACACACACACACACACACACACACACACACACACACACACATATATATATATACCTTTTGTGTTGTGTATACAGGTGGTCCTCAACTTACGACCACAGTTGGGATCAGCAAGACAGTATTTAAGTGAGTGGCACCCAATTTTATGACCTGTTTTGCTGCAGTTAAGTGAATCATTACATTTGTTAAGTGAATCATGTGGGCGTTAAATGAATCTGACTTCCTGCATTGACTTTGCTTGTCGGAAGCCAGCTGGGAAAGTTGGAAATGGTGATCACATGACTTTAAGACATTGCAGCTGTCATAAATACAAGCTGGTTGCCAAGTGCCTAAATTTTGATTATGTGACCAGTGTATGCTGCTACGGTCATAAATGCAAGGACGGTTTCTGCTTATTATTTTCAGTGCCTTTGTAATTTTGAATGGTCACTGAATGAATGGTTGTAAGTCAAGAATCACCTGTATGTATACTTATTTTTTTAGAAACATCATTTTGCTTTGAAAGTTTAGTTAATGAACAACATTCAGCTAAGCATTCTTTTTTATATATAAATATTTTATTACTTTCAAGTGTGTCTGGGTTCTTTTGTCATTCAGTGGTACATATTAACTTTCACTCAAAATATCCAATACTACTCCATCCAGTATTTCCCCAGTACTCTCTTCTCCCAATAATAATCGTTTTTCCACACTAGGCAAATACAATTCTTACTGCTATTAATACCTATACAGTTAAATATAAGTATCTTCATCACATGTTTCCAATGTTATGTCTAGTATCTATAATGTCAGTTTATAATATCTTCTCTGGCCAAAACATATCAAATGTATATGCAATCAAAATTCCCTTATTCAATCCTTATCCCAGTTTTCTTTTTTTTTTCAATTGTAATTCCCCATCAATATTCAAAATAACTTAATCAGTTATCATTTTTCTCATAATTAATTACATTTAGGTAACCAAACCTTCCCTTATACCAGGGGTAGGCAACCTTGGTTCTTTTATGACTCCTGAGCAAGCATGGCTCAGCATGGAAACCTCTCCATTTCTCCTCAGCATGGCTGGCTCAGGAATTTTGGGAGTTGAAGCCCACGAGTCATAAAAGAGCCAAGGTTGCCTACCTCTGCCTTATACCCTTGATTGTACCTTCTCTTATTTGTTGATTTTACAGCTAATGAAAACTGGTGTACATGTCTGTTTGCATTGCAGGTTTAAAAGAATCTCTGGGATCAACTGTAGGACAGTGGGTATATGTCAGTGATACCTATGTACAAGCAGTCCCAGAATCAAGAGTATTAAATTCACAAGCCTATTTGCTTTTCTATGAAAGAATTCTGTAGCCATCTTCATTATGGAAAATAGGAAAGCAGTGTTATTTAACTTGCTTAAGTGCACAGAAAATTACAGTATATATAAATATTGTGCCTTTATCTGTTCCTCTTCTTCAATAGAAAATGTACCCTGGATTCAGATTGTAAATCATGGCTTGGATACAGAACAGCTTTCCCCCTCTTTTTTCATGCATACAAAAAATACAATAGAGTGGCTAACATTTTTGTTCAGTTGCTATTTTAAAAGAATCTATAGTTTCATATGCTTTTATGAAGAGTTGAGGGCAAAGACTGCATTGAAATGGAAATTAATAAAAAAAATTGTCATATGTGATTACAAGGAGGTGGGTGTATGTGTGTGTTTCTGAATCCAAGCAGACATTGCTTTTGGACTCCTAAATTGTAATGTGAAACAATACATTCTGAAACTAAACAGTAATGTTTCAAAATGGGCTAGTTAAAATCATGTGCTTTTTCAAAAGTTAACTGCAGGAACAATCTTGATAAGACTGACAACCTGATTTTTCTTCAGTGAAGAAAAAGCTGTTTATGGACACCAAAGCATGTTTTTGTAAAATATTTGGCACTTGAGAATTCTTGAAAGAAATGATTCTTATAAATTTAACATGTTCCACAAATGGAAAGTAGTTTTGTTTCAGGAAACAAAAAGGTCATTCTACAAAACTAGGATACTATATTGTGTGTTCTAAAAGGGAATGTGGAAGTGCACCTAGGCCTGATTTTACTCCGGGACGCTTTTCTTTATTTGAATATGCCTTGAAATCTGATGATGTTACAGATGAAAACTCCATCCGAAAGCAAGCTAAACATTCTTCCTGTGATGTGCTAGCTTTCAAATTTAGTGAACCCCAAATCACCTCTGAATCCATCTTACTTACACTGTGAAGCTGGAGCAAGCCATACCTTTTCTTCATATAAATATATTGGCAAATAAATGCATGCTTTCTAGAGAACAACTTACTGTCTCTGAACGTTGAGAAACAATGTCATACAAAAAAATCTCAGAGGCACAAGTATGTGTACTGTATATATGTTTTTACTATTTACTGCACACTGTTGGGGCCCTGTTTTTATAATAATGTTAAGTAGGTCAAGAAGGGAATTAAACTAGGAACCCCAACAAGGAAAAGTTAAATTAACTTTATCCAATCATATTGTGGGAATATATAAAGACAGGTAGTTGAGTTATCTACTTAATACCTGAGAAGAAAAAGACCAGAAGAAAAAGAGTAAATAAAAAAGCAACCTTCTCAGTGACAGAACTAATTTTTGAGGCTCAAGCACACGTAATGTATGTACCAAATGCTGTTTAGTGGCATGATTCAAGCAAGCCTATTCCCTGGGGAAGATGATAGTGATATAATGATATTTGGGTAAAACTCCTGATAAAACTATATATTTCCTGGAGAAAGTATATGGGACACTGTATTCTGTAAATGGTTAATTGTGACCTGCTTAGGGTGATTGTGTGTTGCCAGAAATCATCATTTGACTGGGTTACAGAATGACTGGGTAAAAGTAGGTAGAAACACGATCCTTGAATTAAATACTACATATCTTTAAAGGAAACTACATTTTCCTAAAATATTTTACATTTTGTGTTTTTCATTATGTACATTGATATAGTTGAGTATTAGGGTGTCCAAATGTTTGTGATTTAAGGTGACTTAAATAGAATTAGCTCTCAGGTCTTTGTTGTGAATATCAATATATTGTTTTATTTTTATATATTAAATAACTGTACAATTGGCTTCCCATTAAGTGTAAAATATCCTTGTATGGTTTAGAATTTGGCTATTTATCAGTTTTGTAACTATGCCACTTGGTACAGAAGGTTTGAGGCCATATTGAAGAGGATTGATGACAGTCGCCTTTCCTTCCTAATCATCCCATCATCCTCTGAAACCTATTTTGAGAGTAGAGGACTCTGTTGAACAGGAAGGATTATTCTATAAAACAACGAGGAGAGTAAAAACTGAATAGAGGCAACTTCTGCTAGTGGGAGTATGGAATATGTCTCTACTTATTTTGGGGAAGGAGGTGCTTTCCAACCCCTGTATATTTAATGCAGTAGGCTTGTTAAACTTAACGGCTGCTAAAATAGAAAAGTCTGCATTTATCAATTCTAGATCCAATGTTATGAATCAGAGATAACTATTATAGGCCTGTTTTATTTTCTGTTTGTTTTCAATTACCGGTAGTATGAAGGGGAGAAATGTATGAGTGTTATCCTGCTGATTTTCTCAATGTTCTTCAGTACCACTGACCATGGTATACTAAAACTTCTGTAAGGATTGGGAAAACTGTAGAGAGCATTGTTCCTCAGTGAATCTCCTTCCTGGAGAATCTCACAGTTTCAGTCAGTGGTGGTCAGTGGAAGAGATTGAGCCTTTGGCCATTTCATTATAGAGTGTCCCAGACCTTGTTCCTGTCTCCATTACTATTTAACAGCCGCATAAAGTCACTTGGAGAGATCATGGCCAGTATGGAATGAAATATCACCAATAGGCTGTATATTAGTTAAATGCTTCTCTTAGCTGGTTAGGGGCTCCCGGTTGGTAATATGTAGCTGGATTCCAGTAGAGGTACTGTATTGCCCTGAAAATAAGCCCGGGTCTTATATTTATTTTTGGTGCAAAAGACCCATTAGGGCTTATTTTCAGAGGATGTCTTATTTTTTTCACCACAAGGCCCAGCCTGGCTGGGGCCCCGCCCCACCAGGAGACTCAGGTTTCCCTTGGTGGGGGAGGAAGGCTTTGGAAACTGCCTTTTCATTTACATTCATCATCAATATTGTAATCCATCCCTTTATTTTTTTAAAAAAATTATTTGTATTTACCACGATTAGCCTCCTATGAGAAGGCGTGGTATGAATTCTGCGCATGAGCCACAGAAATACAGACACTCATACCCTCACGCCTCTTCCTCGTTCAGGGAGACTTGTTGCAGGTGTGTTCAACTTTGTGGCTGAGCTAAGCTCTTCAGCTGCGGTGGGTCACAGTTCCCATCAGCTTCAGGCAGCCTGGGTGATGGAAACCTTGGGCCAGGTTTCTCGCAGTTGAAGCAATCCGGCTCACCCAGGTCAGGTTGGCCATCGCCAGAGACGTGGCCCATCCCTGTCCTCCAGCTCTGCCGCACATGCAGGACAAGTCTTCTGTGACAGCCAACCTGACTGTGGTCGAGCCGGATTGCTTACAGGGAGAGGCTGTGAATTGCAGGATGACGACTGCAAAGGGCATACGTGGATCCCTGCAGCTCCTGGAGGTTTCGAGCGCTATTTTTGGCACCACTCGGTTTCCCACCCCATCCTGCCAGGCTGATCTGGTGGGCGGGATTGCCTTCTGCCTTCCCCACCGCTGCATTGGCAGCTGACGCTGCCCTCCTAAGAGGCAAAACGGTGATTGGACGGCAGTGTTGTGATTCCTCACCAGCCAGTGGACTGAACAGCTGAATCTGAGGAATCAGAGGAGGAGGAGGGGCCTGGAGTGAGATCAGAGTCAGAGGAAGGCTCTGAGGAGCTCCAAGACTTACAGTCTGACGAGGAGCCTGGCCCCTCTACTCGCGCTCAGGCTGAGACACAGCTGTGCTGGGAGTCTGAGTTGGACAGTGATGAATCACAGCTGGGAGACATCCAGGATGCACGAAAACACCGGCAAGAAAAGAGAGTAGGACAGAGGAATGCAATGGGGCGGCTCCAAAGGCAAAGGAGAAGGCATTAGGAAGCCACGCCTTGGCTGCATAATAAAAGGGAAGGTGTGGGAAGTGCTGGTTGCTGAAGGCAACCGTTCGTGTTGAGGATCGAGTTTCTGTGAACTGTGTTTGTTTGCCTTGGACATTGACTCAGATCTGTAAATAATAAAAGGGGATTGGTTTTTTCCTGCAGTTCCAGCCTGCTTGTTGGAAGAGGGGTTCCTCCTTGTGAGCTTAACAAGGAGTCGCGTAGGCTGGGACAGAACAGGCAGCCATGCTACAAATGGGAATAGACCATCTTTCAAACTTCAGCCATCCTCTCCATGGCACTCTGCAGCTGATCTGAAGCACTGCTTAAAACAGCGAGGCAGACGCGCACACAGAAGCAGCACCAAAAAGAGTGCTCGGAGCCTCCAGGAGCTGCAGGGATCCGTGCACGCCTTTTGCAGTCCTCCTGAAACACGCAGCCACTCCCTTTCCAATTAGTGCTGGTAGATAAAGGAGAAATTGTGCCCCAAGTCTCTATTCTATGGGGTTTCCCAGGCCTCTACATTTTCTCAACTACTATTTAACGTCTACATGAAATCTCCAAGTGAAGTCATCCATCTGCATTGCCTAGCCACACCTTGGCAGGATTATTGCATACTACTGTACATTAGATTAACTTTGAAAAACCATGCAGAAGCTGCTATTGATCTGAAATACAGTAGTTATTATTGAAGCACTTCGGTGTACTCCTGTAGCAGCACTTTACTAGTGCCTCATAAACTTCCATGTGTAATTCAAAGTGCTGGTTACCACTTAAAAAGCCTCTTGTGGCATAATGTCAAATTATTGCAGGACAACAACTTCTCTCCAATCATTTCTCTTCATCCTGGCAGAAGGGGCATGCTCTGGGTCCATTCCATGAAACAGTGTCACCTAGTGGGATCCAGGGGATATCCATAGTCTAGTGAATGTGTGGGCATCTAATACTTTATATCTCAAACAATTGGGGGGGTTTACATTTATTGTTTCAGGAGTTCTAATATACGCAGGTACCTTTGAATGCATGGAAATAACATAGATGAATAGATTGATTTGCACCAGAGGTTATCATGTACACATAATTTTAAATAAACATCCCAAGATAAAGATTTTTTTTTGCCCAATACTGGTATATTTCTTTTATACAATCTGAAGTTTAGTCCCATAAATAAGAACTATTAAGCCAAGTGAAGAAATGAATTCTTCAATTTTCTCACTGAGTTCTATGATATTTAAATATGCTACATTTTGACTAGTCCTTGGTACTAAAAAGAAACATTTGTCATTTTTCTCAATTTGTATTATAAAATCAGTGCATTTTCTGCTACTTCTGGTTGGAGCTGTATTTTTCTTTAAAAGAAAGAATTATATTTCTTTCCTTCCCTTTTTTTTATCCTTCTACTTGTTTTGTTCACATTATAGTTATATGCATTGAATAAATAAATAAAAAATAATACTTGCTTTTGGATCTGTTTGAGTCATATTACACAGCCACTTTTCATAAAATGTATATTGTTTTATCACTTCCTTATTCTTGCTTTCTCTGGAGATTAAACATTGACACAAATGAGGAGTGGATTTATCTTAAATATCTACTTCCCATATCTGTGGAACAGTAACCCTTGTCATTTCTAGCCTGCATACCCATTGGTGATTCTGTCTTTGTGTCTGTAAAATATCTCAAAAATTGAGAAAACCATTGTCAGCTAAGATAGCACCATCTTCTGGTTTGATCTTGAAAATGTATATCTTATTTTACTGGAATATGGTCTATGAATCAATTGGGCTTTCAAAACAAGAATATTGATAGCTATGACTAAGACAATGTTTTAAGAATAAATAATTTGTAAATGGGATTTGTATATTCTTATGAAATAGGAAGGAAGGAGGCAATATCTAGTCAAGATTCCTAATAGATTATTACTGTTCGTGTAACTGATCCAAATTTAGAGAAGATGACTATATATACAGTTTGTTGCTTTATACACAGAAGCAGTGTTTTTTTTTTGTAAAATAAAAAAAAGGTGCAGGAACTCACACATGTCATACAACCCACCTTGCCTACTCTACAAGGTACCAGAACTCTGTTCTGGGCATTCTATGACAAAAAAAAAGCCCTGCACAGAAGCACTACACCATAAAAGCTCCAGTTTGTTATTTTTGCTGCATTTGAGGGGTCGTTCTCAAAGTCACTCTCAACTGCCTTGAAGTCATCGTTTGTGGGAGCCGGAACTCGACCCTCTGACCCACGAGCTTGGGAGAGTTCTACAGTCTCCTCAAACACCATCACCAGCTCTCTTGGGCATAGTGTCGTTTTCGTAGATCTGCCAGTGGATTGTCGGTCTCCTCTCTTGGCTGGTACCTTGCTACAGCAGTTAACTACTCAGTGTCCCTTTCCCACACTTGAAACATGCAGTAGAGCGAGGTGTGGTTGGTGATGGCCGGGCCGTCTCAGATCTCTTCTCTGGTATTGGCTTGAAGGTGGGTTTTACCGGGCGGCGCTG